CCAGCCAGTTCTCCGTTCCGCCCACCGAGCTGGGGGAGACTGATGTAGACCTAGATGAGTCTCATGTTTAATTCTGTATCTTGTAAGAGTGACAGATGTAGAGAGTGGGAGGGATCGCTTTGCGAAAAGGTGAATACTTTTGCTTGGAAAAGAGGAAAACACAGCACTTTACGTCCAACGGGTGACACAAATCTCAGTAGATTTTGCTGCTAATGCGCACATTGTTTCATAAACATCTTTAAAAAAGCAATGGCTAAGGTAATTTGGTTGTGTGAAGACCATAAAAACCAGGGAAGAATAAGAGGAAAGAGCCATTTCACTGCACATTGTTTATGATTCAAAAAGCCTTGAGCAGTTAAAAATATATACTATTATGGAGCTGCTTACCTAGAAATATTAACAAATAATATGTTCTAAAAAGAGAATGCAATTTTTGAGATTACTCACGTTATACATCTCATGCAAATGTTTATTTTTGTAGTTTCAAAAATATTAAATCAGATGGCTGTATGTGTAGCAATTTACATAAAAATAATCAGTAAAGAAAATATTAGTTTGAGGAGACTAAATAATAAATAAGCCTGCAGCCATTTTTGCTTTGACCAACAATACAGCCATTTACAGGAAGAAAATAATACTATTTTTAAAGCTGTGGATTTTTCAGTATTTATTTTTCAACCGTCATTTACCTTGCATGTTGTAAATCAAAATACTAATGCCCGAAGATCGTTCCATTTCACAATCACGTTAGAGAGACACTATTCTAAAAATTATCACATAAGTTTGAATTAAGAACCTAAACAGCCTATACTATAATGAAAACTATATGTAAGTACACTAGCTAGAAAAGGATGGTATTTCTACTTCTAGCCATGACCACATCAATGCCAAGATTAGGAGATATTGGAAAATGTGATTACTTTGTAGTATCCTGTGCCTGCCCTCGAGGGTATATTTTTAGATATTAAGGTTATTGTTGTTAGAATTGGTTCGGTAAAATAACTTTTTCTCAGTGCTAACAATATTCTTATGATCCTATAGACATCTGCGTTTATGAGGAAAAATTATAAAGTGAGAAATCTCTTCGTAGGCACAGTCTGTGTACTTTACTTTCACCTGAAGTTCAAGAAGAGTATAAAACTTAGAAAACTTGGGAGGCCGTATCCAGTATTTTACTGATCCTGTAGTAGGGCTTGGCATCATATAATTTGAAACTGAATTTCAGAATTTTAACAGTTTACATTAGAAAGCTGTTACATAACTACTAAGCATATAAAAACTCATATATGTACGTGAATTGGTGTGTGCGTATATGTGTGTCCACACGCACGCGAGTGTGTGCATCTTCTAGTCCTCCAACTGAAGTTGTAGATTTTAATTATATTGCAGTGAATTGAAAACACATTATGTACGCTTAAACTTTTAACTACGTTGGCTATGAAAACTATGTTTATAGAGAGGAGACCTGCTAAACTCACCCAAATCACAAAGGAAGATTATTTTTTCTGTTTGCTTATTAAATAGGCATTGCTTATGTTGTGATTTATACTTTCAAACATAATTTGGGGTTTTGTGTTCCATTTCCTAAGAGTATGAAAGATACCTGTGAGTTAAAGACAATGGACAAAATGAAAACTTTCGCATCTAAAATTTGAGAAAACAGAGGCGGCAAATGGCCTCTTCAAGGTTTTACAAAATTTTCAGAACATTTACTTATGCTGAATTAATTCTCAAGTGCAGATATGTATAAGGTGGTTTTATGATTCTTTCCAAGCTGATATATTTTGCCTGTTAAAAAGTATGCTGCTCAATTAGTGTTAGAGGCCTTACGTTTGGTAATTACACGTGTCTGGGCTGTATGAGTCTCTATATATGTGTGCACTTTGTTCCAGTTTTTTGGTTCTTGATTCAGATTCTCTATGTATAATCATATCAAATATTTAAAAAGTGAAGGAGTCAAAGACTGTTGATTATTTGACAAGAACTCTGAATACCTTTACACATACTTAAAAAGTGCTGGGCTGTTCTGAACATGACTATGCTGGCATGTCTGCCTTTCAGTCTGACTCCTTCCTTCTAGTGTTAACGGAAGTCTGTTGGAAACTTTTTAAATAAGCTAAGTATTGTTGTACCTTGCAAAAAAGCTCCCACTCTGAGAAACCAGGCCTTAGAGAGTGGGAATGTTTTTAGACGGGGACTGCTGGGGTTTTGCAGATGTGTGCATCTGTTCCATTTAAGGTGCCCTTAAATGTGTTGAATGTAATGTGTTGAATGTTTCTGTGTAATTGATAAAGTATTTATATGTATGTGCATAAGATTGTCACAAGATGTATTCTCAGGAATACTGTTACCTGGAATTTGAAAGAATAACTATTTAAAAAAAAAAAACAGTTGGGGAAGATCAGAAAAAAAGTTCAAGATAGTTAACAATTTTTTGTAATATTCAAAGCATTATTGACTATATGACTAAAAATTCTTATATATGGTAAATACGGATTGGTAATACTAGATTATTTCTTAAGCCATGATGCTTAATGATACTCCTCTTGTTTAAAGAAAAATCCAAACAGGCACCTACTTCCCATGTGTAAAACACTGGACTCAACCAAGAGGTTGCTTCTTCTGAAATTAACTTTGAAGAGACCTTGGAATAAATATGTATCATCCATGACAGTGGGTGTAGATTTACACCACTCAGATTCAATTAAAGCAGTTCAAATCCTGGATACAGCACTTTCTATAGCAAAACATTTTACTTTCATTTTTCAGTATTTGCTGCTTTCTATAATTCTATTAAGATAAGTTATTTGATTTTTCCAAAAAAGGAACCTGAATTACTGAGCGCATTGGGACAGGTCACTGAGAACCATAGTGGCAAAAGGCATAAATGGGCAGGACAGTGGTGGAGGAAAAAATGATGTGGTGTTTGGGGAGGTCTGATTAGGACCTGCTGCACAGGCTGGGAGCTGTTGCACAGGCTGGGAGGAACGGGCTTGCTCTTTCAAGCCTGCAAGAGAACGTTAGGCAGGGTGACATCTCCCTTCATCAGTACCCGTCCCTTTAGTCAATGAAGAACATTCTTCACTCTGCTGCCTAGCTCTAAGACTATGTGAGATGAGAACATGGTGTATATAAGGACCAACAGGGAAAAAAGGGTCTTAAGTGGAGTTACAGTCCAAAATGCAAACTAAATACGCTTCCTCAAGTTATACAGGATACTTTATTAAGTCTCTGGAGTTTGCTGCTATCACACTGAGTCATGCTGTTGCCCTGTGACCTCACACTTCAATTCCATGGCCTTGTCTTGGCAGTGAGTAGAAAGTCCCACTTCCTCGCTTACTTTAGTGGGTCTCAACTGCAGCATTTCAGAAACAAAGTTTGGTTTGACACTCAGGACAATAAAAACAAGGGCAGAATGTATTTGGAAAAGCTTAAGACAAATTTACTTCTATTATTTCAGGATCATTTAGCATTACAGATCAATGTACCTCCGTAATATTTTTCAATAGTCACTGTGACTGCAGGATGAAAATCCTTTATTAGCCATTTTATAGGTAAAAACAAAAGATTGATTACACAGCCAACTTCCCTCAGATGACTATGAAGTCTGTTATGAATACTGAATGACCAAAGAGCATGGAAAAAATGCATATGAATAAATACTGAAACGTTTATGAAAGATATTTATGAAAGATATTAAGACCTCTGTGTTTGAATATGCACATATAATAAAATAAAACTAAAAACATTTAAGATGCCTGATTAAGTTTCATTTCTTATTTCTCAACACAGGGAATAGGTTAACTCATTTAGAAAAAATTTCCTTTTGGATCCTTGGGGAGTGTCTTGATGTCTCTTCTGAACCCTCACAGTCTGGTTTGAGGTCACCCTTCAGTTAGACACTTCCAATTCTTCCCTCCAACCCCAGCTGAGTTCCATTTTACTTAAGCTTTGCACTCCTTTCAAAATAAAGCAGAATGGATATATTGGGAAACAGGTACCCCAGCTGGATTTCTCTGCCCTGATTATGACCTGATGGAATGACCAGATTTCCCAAGAGGACTGTGAAGGGACTGGTTGCCCTCTGAACGTGGCCACGACCACCATGGCATCCAAGTTACCACCAATGTCTTCCGTATCACTTACAAAGTGCCCATTACTTACCATCTAAAGTATGCTCTTGCTAAATCCTTTTATTTATTTATTTTTTCCCTCACGGGATTTTATTTCGTCTTCTCTGGACCCAGTGACCTGAGACGAATTTGGCAGAGGAACAGACACACCTACTCTCTTCCAGATTGTGTCCGAACAGTAAATACATGTATTACAATTTGTCAGCGAACCTCCATAAAAGGGAAAAACAGAAGAGAAGGGAAGAAGGATGAGGGCCAGAAGCCAAGAAGGGGAGTGGTAATAGCAATACTCGCCACCATTTTGTATCGGGCACCTGATGTCTCCTGCTGAGTACATTACCTAGATTCACCCGTGTGATGCAACAACCCTGAATGCTGGGTAGGGTCCTAACATGAGAAAGCGGAGACTGGCAGAAAGTGCTGGGTTACCAGTTAGTGCCTTGAAGCGCGAGGACTGCACTCTAAATTTGACTCCTTCAGCTCTCAAGAAGAGTTCAACGAGAAAGCTATGAGAAGAAAGGTTTATTTGTTCTGTTTGTTTGTTTTTTTTTTAAGGCAAGCGCAAGAACTGGACAGGAGGGGACAGCAGCACAGGTGAAAACAATGGAGCGGCACAAAGTGAAGCGGGGGCAAAAGCCGAGGAAAAGGAACTCAGAGGATGTAAAACAAAAACACTTAGAAATTCTTTCAGTTCGGCGAGGGCTGGAAGACCTAAAAGGCTGATATTTCAAGAAGGATGAGTAAAGGGAAGAGGAACGGGCCAGTAGGCCAGAGGCCCCGCCCCTAAGCCCTCGGCGGACAGCCCCGCCCCCGAAGGCAGGAGGGACTTCCTCCCTGCGGGCAGCTGCTTCCGGTGGAGTCCGGAAGACTCTACCGGGAAGGGGCCAAAACTGCGCAGCCAATCCGGGCGACGCTTTCGTCTTACCGGGGGACTCGTGGGTAGCTTGCTCTCGGGAACCACCACCATGGCGTCTGGCTGCAAGATTGGCCCGTCCATCCTTAACAGCGATTTGGCCAATTTGGGGGCTGAGTGCCTCCGGATGCTGGACTCTGGGGCCGATTATTTGCACCTGGATGTAATGGACGGGTAACTCCGCAGGGCTCGGGTCAGGGTTGCCACGCGGGGCGGGCTCGGCGCACCTTTATTGAGTGCCTGTTGGGTGCACGGCTTCCCAGTACCGCGGAGCGCCGCACTCTGAACGCGGTACTGAAAAGGGGACTGGGATGGGAGTCCTGGAGGCCCTGCCTGGAGCGAACCTGAGGCGGCAGCCTGGGCTGCGACCGCGTCCCCAAACCCTCTTCCTCCCCTCCCCCCACGTAACGTGTGGCCCAAGCATTAGGACCCGGACGCAATTTTAAATCTCTTGGACGCGTCTCTCATTTTCAGTTAGAGAAACTGAGGCCCAAGGGGATAGGCATGACTTGCCCAAGCTCATATAGCTAGTTAGTGGCAAGGCTGGGGATACAGACTTGTGTAACGGTTAAGAGCTTGGCACCTGTAGTGAGATTGCCCGAGTTCTGCCATTTGATGGATCACCTGGGACAAGCCACTTAACCTCATTGAGCTTCAGTTTCATTCTGTGAAAAATGGGAGTAACAATAGAACCTAGGCAACTTTGGAAGTTGAAATGAGCGAACACGTAAAGCATACAGTGCCTGGCCTATAGTAAATTCTCTGTAATTATTAGGTGTTGTGTCATTGTTCGAATTTTGATTTTCCTGTTTATTTTCTCTTCAGGCACCCTGCTCTTCAGGGAGGTCAGTTTTTTGTAAGTAATTTTTAAGCACTGTAGTTATAGCACGTAATCGATATTGTTCAGAGTCAGTATGATGCTAGTTTCTTTAAGTTGGCGTTACAATGCGGAAACGAACCTTGAGAAGACAATAGGACTCTCAGGATTACACAACATTGTGACAGAGTTGCAAATTGTGTTTTCTTGGGTTTGCCAAGGAGTTCCTGGAGCCCCACTGATAACTGGCCTTAAAGTAGTAACAGCCGTTATCTTGGGTTCGGGGTCAAAAAATAAATTTATTTTAAATAGGTAAAATTTCTATGTGGCCTCATGCAAATTTGCAAATTTGTTATATTTGTAAAAGATCAGTTACTTCTTTTTCTTTTTAATGTCACTCCTATTACAAGAGTTTTGTCTTTCTCTGTTCTGTCTGGTTGAATTTGTTGTTTCTCTTTTGCATCCTCCTCCGGTTATTAGTATCCCAGCTGATTATGGTGAAATCTTTACCTTAGAGTACTAAGCATTCTAGACTAAATGTGTAAGATTGGTAAGTATTAGCTAGCACAAAAACTGGATTTTTATTGTGTTACCATATACATAATTCATATTCATAGTTATGTACATATACATAATTTTTGGAAAGCTCTAAACTGTCACAGGTAACTGAATGGAGTGTGTACTTCCGAGATGGGTAGGTACATTTTCATGTCTGGGATACAAATGTTGTTGTCTGAAACAGCCATCTCAGGGTAGAACAGGCTCCATGTATACATATATTGTCTGTTTATCACAGAAAGCAATTTGGTGTTTTAAATAAGTCATGTGCCATGTTGGAGTAACTAAATGGAGAAAATAATTGTTTCAGTTCACAAATCAGCAATATTAATGATAACGATAGTAGCTAATACTTTTGAGCACCTGACTGTTTCCATTCTGATGCTCTTTGTGAATTAACTCACTCAACCTTATGAGCTTGGTGCCGTAGTTGGCATCAGCATTTGACAGTGGGGAAATGGACACAAAGAGGTTGAGTCACCTGTCCGAGGTATCCTAGGTAGGAAACGGCGGGGCCAGGAGGAGAAGCCTGCAGCAGCTTGGGTGGTCTCGGAAATTAAATGTCTTCTGTGGGTTCTGGGCTTTCAGAGAAGGATTAAGACAGTCTGTGGCCACGAAGAATAACTAATAATTTATACACTTACTTTTGTTATTTATTTTCACATCTCTCCTGCTGTACTGTAAGCTCCCTGAAAGTAGGGTCTCTTTGGCTCACCTCCGAATTCTCTGCAAGTGAAGCATCGTGACAGGCTTAGTTATAATTGGTTGAGTGAATGATTGGCTCTGTCGTAATTGAGGGATTTCTAATGAAACCCTTTGTCCCCTCCCAGCCTAAGGCAGACTCTTAACTTATTAAGATACAAGTACTTGCTGTTTATGGACTCCTTTCCTCCTTTGCCACGTAACATCTTGGTTTGACAAAATTAAATTCTCCAAACACCATTTTAAAACCTTTCTCTTTGAATCTTCACAACTTTTTGAGCTCAGAGGTATTTGATTCCCCTTTTGCAAAGGAGGAGACTAGTTTAGGGAGTTCAGCCTCTTTCTGATGTCCCACCAGAAGGGGCAAAGCTGGCTGAGCTGCATTGTTTCCTAGGCCAGGTGCATGAAAGTGGGGGCGTGGACTCCCCTTTCCAAGGTGGCCAGCCTCAACTTAACCTTCTCTCCAGGTACTGCCTCCATGCTTTTCTTTTTCCTGGTCCCTTTAAAAAAAATCCCCGGTATTCTGGTTTGGATGCACCTGTTGTTTCCCCTTTTCCCCTAGGGCCCTGCTTTCTCTCCTGATTAAAACTGAATGTCTTCATCTTGAAAGTCAGGAAGGAGTTTGGGGAACACTGTGGGGGACGGTGCACTAATATGGTTGGATATTTGGGGGGATAAAAGGACAAATGAGTTCTCTGGAAAAGAACATTGGAAAGCACATAAACTTGTCATGACAGAACAGTGGCCAGAAATGTGCTATTAGTCCTGAGTGTAGGGACAGCGCAGATGTGCAGTTTCTAAATTAGTTACCAGGCTTTAAAACTGGGGAGATTTCACATCAGTACTAGATAGGTGACTTTTGAAAAACATCCAAAGATTTGCAAGTACTGGGTCCACAGCCTCATGAGGCCACAGCAGGCTGGAGCTGAATGGCAGCCACCATTATTAACCAGGCTAGATGTTCTTCATTTGTCCTCTGTCCCCATCTGCCCTATTTTACTCCTCTGTGTTTTCCGCCAGGCCCTGGAAACATATGAGATTGTGTTTCCTGATTCACAGGGAATGTTTTCTTGTTACAGTCTTGCTCCATTTTACATCAGCCTTAATCCTCCTTTTCCCATCTTTGCCTTGGAAGATCTGGTAAAGGTTTTATCTGTCTGAAATAAATTGATTGTGTGACAGTTGTAAACAAAGCTTAAGGTTGATGAGGGAAGATGAGGTGAGATAAAATAATTATATACCTGTGCTGTAAACAATTAGAGCTTAATCTCAGTAAGTCTCTGGGGGAAAGGGATACTTTTTTGTTATATTTTGTTTTTTGCAGACTGCAGAAAGTACCTCTAATGGGAAAAAGAACAAGACAGAATAATACAGTGGTGAAGCCAACAGCCTTGATAAAACTTCTCTTTGTTAGAATGAAATAATGTAGGATTTTCCAAGCTGGTCTGATAAGGACTCCCAGGGCATTGGTGTGCCTGGGTGGCTCAGTTGGTTAAGCATTCGAATCTTGGTTTTGGCTCATGATCTCTTAGTTTGTGGGATTGAGCTCCTTGTCAGGCTCTGCTCTGACAGTGTGGAACCTGCTTGGAATTCTCTTTCTCCTCCTCTCTACCCCTCCCCCTGCACATGTGCACTCTCTTTCTGTCTGTCTCTCTCTCTTTCAAAGTAAATAAACATTTTTTTAAAAAGGCTGTAGGGGCACCTGGGTGGCTTAGTCAGTTAAGCATTCGACTTCGGCTCAGGTCATGATCTTTCAGTTTTTGAGTTTGAGTCCCGTGTCAGGCTCTGGGCTGATAGCTCAGAGCCTGCTTTAGATTCTGTGTCTCCCTGTCTCTCTCTCTTTCCCTCTCCTGCTCTCGCTCTCTCTGTCTCTCAAAAATAAAAATACACTTAAAAAAAAAAAAAAGACCTCCCAGGGCATTTGTTAAGAATTCAGATTCCCAGGTCCCCTTTAGTGTCATAGGGTTGGAGTAGAGCCTGCAAGTCTTTTTGTGACAAGTGCTCCCAAGGTTACAGTTGTCTGGCAAATTTAGGACCCCTTGACTTCATGCTTGGGTTTGTTGCCTCTTTCTATTCTAGTGTATGTGGTGAGCCTGGAGCACTGTAGTACGATTAGTCGTGCATTGGGGAATCAGTTTCATATGATAGGCTTCTGTTCCCCAATGAGGTAAAAGTATATTTGTTTTATTCTCCTGTTTTCTCAAGATGTATGTGTTTATTATGACTATTTTCATTATAAAGGCAACGTAAGGTTGAGCAACAAAAGTACCTCTAAGGCCATGTAGCAAATTAATAGAACAGTGAACAAAATTCTGATCTTTTGTTCCAGAGCTGTATAATATCTAGTATAAGCCTCACTGTCTGCTTATCTGACCCTCACCTTCGAGTTCCTGGCAAACATAATGAGCATCTTATCCATGCCCCTGGCGGTCATTGCTCTTAGGTGAATCGTGGAATGATTTTCTAGATCCTAGAAACCCAGCCTTCAGGGACCGCAGCATTTGCAGATGTCTGTACCTGTCCACCTTACCTGGTGCCTCTCATATGTGTCCTGAATCCTGACTTCTGTGTCCTCCCCTAGGCTTTCTGTGTTTGTCGTTATCAGTTGGAAGGACAGGTGAGCATAATAGGTAAGAGCCTGGGTTTTGAAGCCAGATTGCTGGTGTTTAATGCCTGCCTCTGGCACTTATGGGCCGTGTGACCTTGAGTCTCTTTTCCTTGTCCGTAAAATATGGATTATAGGGGTACCTACCCCACAGAGTTGTGAGGTGCTAATGAGTTAATACATGGAACGTGTTTAGAACGGTGCCTGGCCTGTGTAAGTTTTAATTTTTTTATTAGCGTTCATCTGTCATCTAAGCTTAAGATCTTAACCATGGTTTATTCTCTCTTTTCGGCTCCCCACATCTGAAGACTTCACAAATCCCATCACGTGTATCTGTTGTCCTTTACATTCTCAGTGTTCCTTGCCCAGGCTACCATCCCAGTTTATTATTTGCACTTTATTTATTTTCTTCTTGCTTTCTGATTTTTTTTTTTTAAGGAATGTCTTCTGTGGGGCTCACACTCACTTCGAGATCAAGAGTGACATGCTTTACCAACTGAGCCAGCTTGTTTCTTGCTTTAAAACGTCACTTCATATTTACAACAGGATAGAGTGCGACCACTGAGCCTGGCATTTGCTACCCTGATGTGACACAGTCTGCCTCCTGTTTTCACACTCGCCAAGTTGAACACCACCACCTCCCCGGCTTTGAACACAACTTGCTATTTCTGCCTTTGCTTTATTCCTTTTCCCATCTTTACAAATTCTCTTTGTTCTCTAAATCTCACGGCCTTCCCTTCTTTTCAAGTGTCATACTACTTGCCTCCTGTGGCCCACTTGTTGTTTACCTTTTCTTGCTTTCCTCATACAGGGTACTATCTACTTACTACTTTTAACCAGTAAAGCCCCGAGTTCAGTGGCTTAACATTATCAAGTTCAGTTATTCACGTAACAGTTCAGCGTGAATGTCCTTCTGTGAAGAAATTCAGGGACATAGTCTTCCATCCTGTGACTGTGCCATCCCATGAGGGCTTTTCTGTTGACGGAAGGGTAAAGCGAGAGCAAAAAAGGAATACCGCTTAACCTCCTGGGTCCTGCAGTGGCACACGTCACTGAAGTTCACAGTCCTTTGGTGACAACCGGCTGCAACAGGCCACCTGGAGGTAAAGGGAGTGGGCTCTCACCAACACACAGCAGTAGGGCCATGGATTCCATTGAGTCATTAGCTATTTCTCGCCAATGAGATTAGAAACTTCACCAGGGTAGGCAGGAACTCCTATATCTCTTTATGAAACCTGGGATGATACTTGCATGGGGGGTGTGGAGGTGGTTGTTACATATTGAAATAAGCTAGTGATAGAACAGAAGGACAAACTGGAGTAGGTTGGTGGTGGAGTAGGTGGGGTCAGATGTCAGGAAGACTTACTCTGAATCCTGCCTCCATAAATTATTAACTGGGTGACTTAAGTTATTTTTCCTGTATTCTTCCGATGGGAATATAACAGCATCTATGTCATTAAGGCCGATGCGAAGATGAGTAAGGTACAACACCTGGCATGCTGGAAACCCTCCATAATTAGTGGTTCAACTATGATTTAGTGCCCATTGAGTGAGGTGGATTAGAAGTCGTAACGGGGAGCCTGTGACAGACTGGGATTTAAGAGACCAGAGTCCAGAACTTCCTAACTAGTGTGTGACTTGGGCAAGTCATAGAACTTTTGGGGTTTTGATTTGATCTTCTTTCCATTTTGGACTGTTGGACTACAAATGATGGGGTTAAATCTTGTGACACTGTTACGATACTGGTGAAATATCAGGGAAATACTACTTTGTAAAACTGAAATTATTGAGACATTTTTAGTACTTTTTAATACTGATGATGGTAATTATTACATGGAAACCTACTGCAAACACAGATGGTCCCATTTACCCCCATCAGAATACTTTTGAGAAAAATACAGAAACTGAATTGAAAACATTTTCAGAGTAAGATTTTGTTTGTCTTATAGGCATTTTGTTCCCAACATCACCTTTGGGCACCCTGTGGTAGAAAGCCTCCGAAAGCAGCTAGGCCAGGACCCTTTCTTTGGTAAGTGGGTGTTGTGCTGTCTGAGGCTGGATGTGTTGCTCAAGTAGATGATTGATTTCTCAACCTTCAGTTTCATCTTGAACCCCCACCCTCCCACCCCAGGCTGGGTCTTCACTCGCTGCTTGTAATAAGCCAAACTCTTTCTTGCTTCACGGCCTTGGCACTTTAGCAGATTTCTTTGCCTAGAAAACCATTCGCTTGGCTGATTCTGCCTTATCTTTTGGCCCTTAATTATTGGCATTTCCTTAGAGGGGGCTTTCTCAGCACCCCATGCCAAATTAACCTTTATCCAGTTATCATGCCACCTTCTGTATTTTCTTTCTTGAATTTCTTTCAATCAGATTATTTTTGTCAAACTATAAACTCCTTTACGGCAGAGATTTAATCCACTTTGTTTTATTGTGGCTTTCATAATGTGGTAAGCATAGACACAAGATTGGGGGTCAGTGTAATTGTTAAAGTAATTTATAAATCACTTGATTTATGGCCTAGAAGCGAAACAAATTATTTCATGTGAATTGGAGTTTGTACAAGTGGGGCTTATGTATGCTCTGCGCTGGTGTTGTAGGATAATGCGAATTAAGATTTTTAAGAACACGCAGTGACCTGGAAGTTAATTCTCGTGACCGTGAATTCGGTCCACATGTTATTGCTCTTTTAAGCTAAGTTAGCAATGGCTTAAGCTGACAAATCTTGTACGTAGGAAGTTAAACAAATTTTTATAAATAATGTTATGTAATGCTTAGAATTTAGTAAAACTTAGATATTTTTTATTGGTATGTTGTGGGCCAGTTTTATGAAGGATTCTAGTTGTGCTGTCCCATGTGGTTGTCACTAGCCATATGTAGCTATTTAAATTTAAGTGAGTTCGGATTAAATAGAATGAAAGATGAAGCTTCTCAGTGGCATTAACTACACTGCATGCTCACAGAAGCCACATGAGTCTGGTGACTGTTGCAGAGTGCCCTTCTGGAACATAGCTATCGTGGTAGAAAGTTCCCTCGGTTGGGCAGAGCCTCTCTATAGGATCCATCTACTTTACACGTAAGAAAAGGTGCCTTATCACTTAATTTATGCGGCATGAGGGAAATCATGTTCTACCAGCTTGTCCACCATTTTGAAATTTTCAAATAATGGATTATAATCCTCTGATGATCTGAACTTTTTTATTACATTTTAGAAAATGAATTTTCCAAAATAAATTTGTTCTTATGAATATCAGGTGACTGAAATAAGCAGCCATGTTTGCCCCCGCCGTGCAGTGGCCAGAGTCCTCTGCGTCTGGATGGATTTAAAAGAAGGGTTTTTTTTTTTTTCTTTTTTTCTTTTACTTGGACTCCTAGCATCACTTCTCATTGCTGTTTGTGTCTCCCACATTTGGTCTCTCTTATCAACCCGAGGGACACACAGTCTGCTTTGTCATTCTGTTTTTAGTGTGTTTGCCAATAAACTTGCTAATCAGTCTGTCTAGAAATAGGTCTGGAGCAAAGCTTAGTGGACTCCAAACGCGTTAATGTTTGGGTTTTGTGACCTTTGCTCTTTATATTAAAAAATGTGTTTTTTCGTTTGTTTAATTCTTGGATCTTGGTTGTTGGATAATTGATTCATGTGTATATTCTAAGAAGTAAGTTGCATGTATAACTGCTAAAGTTCTGAACTGTTCAGTCTCAGTATTGAGTAGAAAAAGTAACCAGTAAGCAATCAAGTGATAGGGAAAAGCTGTTATTTTTGTGCTTTGGTTTTTGGAGGGTTTTTTGTTTTGTTTTGTGTTTTGTTTTTACAAGAGAACAAATCTACACCTTTATTTATTTACTTTTCAGTTAGGTTAAGTCCTTGAGGGGCACAGCATCACACGGATTCTGTGGCCAATGGCTTTAGCAGGAAGTTTGCTTCGGAATTTTGCACGAACCATGCCACCGTCTCCATGAGCAGGAGCTACTTTTCCCCAGATTACTCTGGGTTTATTCGGTTTGCCACCAGGATTCACTGTGTTGTTCTTTGCTTTGTACACATAAGCACATCTCTTGCCTAGAAAGAACTCAGTTTCATCTCGGGCATAAACCCCTTCAATTTTAAGAAGAGCTGTGTGCTCCCTCTGGTTCCTGAGACCCCGTTTATAGCCAGCAAAAATGGCTTTGGACCACAGCCTTCCAGACATATTTGTCGTCTCAGGAGTCCTGTTCCCAGCAGGCCTCCACAGGTTCAGAGATCGGTTTTGGAGTTTTTTATTTGTTTTCTCTGCTGTCATCTAAATCTGTGGTCTTCACATGTGGTCAGAAGACCTCCAGGACTCTCTTGCAGATGGAACATGAGGTGAACACTATTTTCATATTACAGTGTTATTTATCATTATTTGTTTGGATCGTACAGAAGCAATGGTGAGTTTGTCTCTTGGTGCCTTAGCCCGAACCACAGCAATGCCATTGAACTATCCAAGTAGTTGTTAAATTCTGCTTCACCACCATGTGTTCATAGTAAATAGACTTGAAGATCAGTACAGATTATTACCTAGAGTAAACCTTCTTTGTTGGGTGTATTTCGTATTTTGTGGGACAAAGCAGGGAGTACATATTAAGTGCGTCTGCAGCCTACCGGGTGATATTGGATTTCTCAAGGAAACCCACTTGTGCCACTGAGTTGTGAGCTGAACTGGCTGCCTTTCTCATGAACACTTCTCTTCACTTGAATGATAAACTGATAGATGAACTATGCTTATCAGGCTTGAGTATTTTACTGACATTTTCTTTAAAGTTACGTTAGCCTGTCATTTCAAGGAAGATACCTCATTAATTGTTGTTTCCACTAATAAAATGAGAGCTTCTAAATGAAAATTTGAATTTTGAGGAATTTGTGTCTGCTTCTCGGAGCTTATTAGCTTTCTCCTATTTACAGCTTTTCTGATAAAATCGGTAGTGGTATTAATGTGTAATTTCTGATAGCAAATGATGAAATGTGTCACTCTTTGGAATTCAGAAGTTCGAAGATCCGTTCAAAGTGTATTAGGACAGGCCAGTGGCTTTTAGTGTAACAAAACTCAAACAGTTTGAGCTTTACACACTTTTCGTGGAGTTTGGTAGAGTGTACAGATTCCACATTGCAGCTAACCTTTATTAAAGTACTACTTTTACTAGAGTTTTAGGATAGAAATAGAATATCCACACTGGTCTGAAAAGGCTATCAATATACCCCTCCTTTTTCCATGTACTTTTTTCGTTTTTCTTCATATAAAACAACACGTTGCCACAGACTGAATGCAGAGCACATGTGAGAAAATGGAGGTCTTCTGTTAAGCCGGACATTAATGACTTGCCAAAATATAAAATAACATCACTCTCACATTAAAATGTGATAGATTTATTGTTGCTTATTATTTTTTAATGAATTAAGTAGACACTCCACTTAAAAATTTTTTAACTTGATTTCTAATACATTTTATACAGTGATAGGTACAGCTCGCATCAACATCATTTTGGGAATCCTTAGTAATTTTTAAGAGTGTCCAGGAAGGCTGATGATGGAATGTTTGAGAACCTCGGACCTCCCCGAGCCCTGGGGACTCTGCCCGGAGGGCTTGTGCTGCTGGAGACGAGCTGGAAAGCGGTCTGCTAACGAAAGGAATGGGTAGATGTTTTAAAGCAGATTGATTTTTCCTTATTTGTAACACAAGAGAAATAAGAAACAACAGAGTCTTTTAAAAACAATGTTCTACCTATTAAACTATGTTCTGTTTTAGTGACTTTTGTTAGTTTAGAAATGTAAACTTTAATCGTGGCTTTGTCAAGCAGTATTCTCTTTTCCTGACATTTTTCAAAGCCTTCTTGCATTTTATGGTCTTAGTTCTAGAAATTTTTTCTTTAATGTAGCTCAGCTGTGTCAGAAATAGGCTTCCTCTAGCAAAAAACAAACTCCACACTCGCTTTAGCACATCTGTCTGACACAGGAGTATTTACTGTGTCCTTCTTGACAGCAATATTTCTTGACTTAGCCCCTTGTAAGGCACCCTTTTCTCATTAAATGCTCTTATGTTTTAAGTCAGGAACCTTAAGAAGGCCACCCCCACGCCCCCTAACGTAGCTCTGTGATTTGAGCTTTACAGTTAGGATGTGTTTCAGACTTGCAGGTAACACATCCTCCCTCTGGACCCGTCCCCCCTCGCCCTCCCCTCGTCCCCCTCATGCAGTCTGAGCCTGCAGCAGCTCCCCCGTCTCCCCCGCCCCCCCCCCCCCAACCGCTGTAGCAGCAGAGCAGACCCAGAATCCAGCCCGCCTCTTGCCAGTTTCAGTCGCTGCCAGTGGCATTTCTTCCCTGGGTGACTACCAGATCTTGTCACCTCTGCACTCAGAATCCCGCAGTGTCTCCCCCCGATCCCATCTCATAAAACCCGGTGGCCTGCAGAGCTCCGTGCTCTGTCCCCTCATCCCATGCTCCTCTGACCTTACCTGCTCTCCCTGCGATCCTCCTGCCCAGCCACACTGGCCAAGCTTCCAACCCAGTGTGCACTGTGTTTACTTAGTTTCCTTATGGCTTGTCCCCACCCCCCACCAAGAATGTAATCCCCATAACAGCAGAGATTTTTGTCTGTTTTTTTGTGCTCTGTCCCTGGGGCCTAAAATACTTATTGATGCAATAAGTGCTCCATAAGATATCAGTAGAATCACTTTATTTAGCTTTCTTGTTAATTAGGAACGAAGTTCGCATAGATAATAAGACTTTTTGGAGTTTCTTTAGAGTAGCATTTCCTGAACCTCAGTTTCCTGAAATCTAGTCCTTTTCATATACAACATTGTTTGCCTTTCATGGAAAAATGTGGTTTTCTGATAAATGAGTTTAACCAAAACCCTATCTTCAAGTTAAAAGGAGGCTAGTGATGCAGCAGTGTAATTATTTAAGAATTACTTTAATGCCAAGTAGTTTATATCCAAAACAGCCCAAACTGCAGGCTGGCCTCAACAATATGGGGCCGGTACCTTCCTCTCAGTAGTATTCAGGAGACGTGTCTTTTCTTTCTAGATATGCACATGATGGTGTCCAGGCCGGAACAGTGGGTAAAACCGATGGCTGTAGCAGGAGCCAATCAGTATACCTTTCATCTTGAGGCTACTGAGAACCCCGGGGCTTTGATTAAAGACATTCGGGAGAATGGGATGAAGGTGAGGGGCCAGCAGTGGCCATGATATTTTTACCGTTTTAATACTCTTCACTCTCAGTGTGGACATTTTGTTAGAAGACAGGAAGGGGTAGGCAGGAAAGACCAGACTTAGGCAGCTGTTCTTTAGCTGAGGAACCAGAGTTGAAGTAGAAATTGTCTGTTAGGATTTTTATATTCCCCAAATGTTTTCTGAAAAGTACTGCCTTTTAGAAACATTTACGTTTGGGTAGCCTTGTTGACTCTTTTAAAAAAAATAGTTTGAATAATTTATGCATTCCATTTCTGTGTACATTCTACTCTTTAAGAATAGGTATTTCTAGGGGCACCTGGGTGGCTCAGTCCGTTGAGCGTCCGACTTCGCCTTGGGTCATATTCTCACAGTTTGTGGGTTCAGGCCTCATGTCGGGCTTTGCTGCTGACAGCTCAGAGCCTGGAGCCTGCTTTGGATTCTCCCTCCCTCCCTCCTTCCCCACTCGTGCTCTGTCTCTCAAAAATAAATAACATTAAAAAATTTTTTTTTAAAGAACAGATATTTCTACTGGGTCTGATATGCCGTATTAACATTATATGGAAATAATTGTTAATGTGATGTAGCAAATTTGTCTCTGTTATAGGTGGGCCTTGCCATCAAACCAGGAACTACAGTTGAGTATTTGGCACCATGGGCGAATCAGATAGATATGGCCTTGGTTATGACAGTGGAACCTGGGTTTGGAGGGCAGAAATTCATGGAAGATATGATGCCAAAGGTAAAGAGCTATTTGATTTTGGGGTGAGGCTTTTACAGTGTTTGCTCCTCCAGCAAGCATACATTGAGCCATTTGTGGATTTGGCCACGGCCTTTCCTGAAGGAGAGACGGTCAGGGTGGCTGCAGAGCGCTACAGGATGGTGCAGTTGATGCCCTGTGAGCTCTAGTATGGAAATCAGGAAAATACTGCATCTTAACCTTAAAGTTTTCTGTCAAAGCCCTTATCCCTGTAGCCTTGAGATCTCTTGGGAGATTTCTTTTCATTGAATATTGAAGGTTTTGTCTTTGTCTTGTTTGCATGAAGTATATTCTCTGCAAAGCCATGACAGATTGGATGCCATCCCCCCCAACAGATGAGGCCTTGCTTTTATAAAGCTTGTTTTATACAACTTGTTTCAGTATATTAAAAAGGAACGTATCCCTGATCATAATTTGTATTAATAGAAATTTACTGTGTGATGAGCACCTGGCTGGCTTAGTTGGAAGAGCATGCAGCCTGTGGTCTTGGAGTCGTGAGTTCGAGCTCCATATTGGATACAGAAACTACTTAAGAATAAAAAGTTATTGTGAGACAGTCGGAGTCCTGTTTTAGTGGCTAGTATTTGGCTATTTGATTTTTTATTTATTTGGTTGTTTTTCCCCTCGCATATCCACCTTGGGAATCACTTATTTCTTTGTGTTTGTCTAGGTTCATTGGTTGAGGACCCAGTTCCCGTCCTTGGACATAGAGGTCGATGGTGGAGTAGGTCCTGAGACTATCCATAAATGTGCAGAGGTGAGACTGCTCTTAAGGTCACGGCCGAAGTGGTCACAGGCCAGTTTCCTATCAAATGTAATGTCTAAGACACTGTCTTGTGCGCCAAAGAGATTTCTCCTATATTGCCTAAGTTGCCTTTCTTTCTGGTAAAAGTATTTTGCTTGTTCAAATGTAGAACTATGAAAATAAAGAGCAATAAGTGAATATTCTCAAATCACATAGTCATTAAAAAGTCAGTCCCGGTTGTATCAGTAATGCTGAAGGAAGTTATTTTTTAAAAAAAGAATATGCTGATGCCAGCTTTTGGGAGATCATCCAGTTCTGGGCCTTGGAGTGAGACATTTTTCCAAAATAGGGAAAGAAAATCCACCTGCTTATAAAGTGAAAAGATTGTGATTTTGCATAGCTTAGGTGAATTAGTTACTAGTTTGTCCGTTGCAAGAACTGACGGGAGCCATTTCTGATGAAGATTTTGGTCTGGAGGGCTGTGGTCTTCCACGTAAGGGGGAGGCGTCTTCCTGCACAGCTAGCCGAGCTGAGGTCACGCAGTCCCGAGCTTCCTAAGAGGGTGCCAGCCCTTCGTGTAACATTGCAGGTCACTGAAGATTACATGCCTGCTTTTCTTAAGCAGCATGGCCTAACCCGCACTTTACGTTTTTTGTATAAATGCCACACTTTTCTGCGTGATACTTGTCAAAAGCCACGGCCGTGAGACACGTAGGGAGGAGGAGCCGACCAGACGATTAGTGTACGTACGTCCTTGGACTACGTGTGGGTTTCTTGTTACTGAACTGTGCTTTGCCTCCAGAGGGCTTTTTTCCTGCTTACATTAAAACACACATTAGGCTGTAACCCTACAAAACTAATTTTTTTTTTTTTTTCATTTTTGTAAGGAGTGTTGTTGGGGATGTGGTGCGCTGTATCTCAGAGTGACAGTGTCTCCTGGGAGGAATTTTTCTCCCCTCTGGTGCCTCTTCCAGTAGCCTCCTGCCACTTTGTTCTGGAAGTGGATCACGTGACAGATTGGGTTTCCCTCCTCAAGTCAAATCCTGGGAGCGCAGAGCTAAATCTGGACTTCCTTACTTGCTTTTTCTCTTTGATTTCTTTGCTTCCATACTTAAAAGTACATCGAATATCTTTGTTAAGACCTTCAAAGCCTTTCTGGAATGCAGTGAAGTAATACATGAAAAAGTGTTTCATTCTTTCTGACATCAAAATGAGAAAGTATTTAATGTTGCCATATTTTATAGTGTCACATTTTAGGGATAATGGTCTATCACTTCCTTCACAGTTAACCCTTGTACAGTGTGGGTTTAAACTGCATGGGTCCATTTTTATGTGGACTTTTTTTTTTTTTTACAGTCATGTAATTGTATTTTCCTTAAAAAAATTTTTTTTTAATGTTTGTTTATTTTTGAGAGAGACAGAGTGCGAGTAGGGGAGGTGCAAATGGAGGAGAGACACAGAATCTGAAGCAGTCTCCAGGCTCTGAGCTGTCAGCACAGAGCCCAGTGCGGGGCTTGAACTCACAAACCGTGAGCTAACGTGACCTGAGCTAATGTTGGCGCTTACACAACTGAGCCACCCAGGCGCCCCAATTCCTTATGCTTTTCTTAACACTCTCCTCTAACTTTATTGTAAGAATACAGTATGTAATACATATACTAAAAATATGTGTGAACAAACTGTTTATGTTATTGGTAAGGCTTCCAATCAATAGAAGGGTATTAGTAAATTTTGAGGTAGTCACAAAGTTACTTGCAGACTTTTGACTGCACGTGGGGTTGGTACCCCTAACCCCTGCACTGTTCAAGGGTCAACTACAAAGTCCAAAGATTAAAAGATAGGGGCGCCTGGGTGGCTTAGTCGGTTGAGCGTCCGACTTTCGCTTAGGTCATGATCTCGCGGTTCGTGGGTTCGAGCCCCGCGTCGGGCTCTGTGCTGACTGCCAGCTCAGAGCCTGGAGCCTATTTTGGAGTCTGTGTCTCCCTCTCTCTCTGATCCTCCCCCGCTCACGCTGTCTCTCTCTCTCTCTCTCTCTCTCCTAGAAATAAATAAAAATTAAAAAAAAATAAAAAAAAAGATTAAAAGATAATTTGGCTTTTTAGAAGCCTTGGGGGCATTGGCATATTTTGGAAAAACCTTAGTAGAGTTGTGAATTAAAGGTTTTTATACCTTTTTCTGAATACTAGTGAAGATTCAGTGTTGCTTATTTAAAGGTGGTTATTAAAAAGTCAGTGATTTCTTAAATACATTGAAAACAATTTTATGTTTTCATTTGTTAAGCATTTTACTTGTTCATTGAACTAGATTGCTTAAGGTCTGTTCATCTCAAGGTAGCTTTCATACATTTAATGCGCTGACAATTACAAGGATAGAAACTCTGGTCTGGAAATGTTTTAAGCTCCTCTGTTTGTTCCTTTGAAGGATAACCTAAGTGTTTACTTTTTCCAGGCAGGAGCTAACATGATTGTGTCTGGCAGTGCCATTATGAGGAGTGATGACCCCAGATCTGTGATCAACCTGTTAAGAAATGTTTGCTCAGAAGCTGCTCAGAAACGTTCCCTTGATCGATGAAACCATGAGGAGTCCATTGTTTATGCTCATGAAATCTTTCTACTGGAAAACAAGAATATTGACTACCAAATCATACCACAATCAAAGCAGGGCTGTTTCTCTGAGCAGCTGTTCATTCCAGTGACTAAAATCTATTCTGCAGAATGTTCCAAGAGGTTAGAAATTGGTGTGTATGACTACATTTTTAGTGATGGAATTTAAAGATTAGTGTGGCAAAATACCGTTTTTACTGGGAGACTTGATTTTTATAAGAGTAAAAATATGGCTGTATTAATATGGTTATAAACAGAAATGTGTCTTAATGCCTAATGAAGGCATACTAGCTACTATGAAAAAAATTTTTTTTCTGCGTTTTAAACCTTCTCTTGTTTCTTGGTTGTTTTCCAAAGCAAAGGAAGTCCTTATGTTTTTCCTGTTTCATGTCACTTTTGATTTGTGTGCATGAGATAATGTGAGTGGAATGGAGCTAATGAAAAATTGAAGTTTGAATCTGGCTAGGGTGGCATACTGTATTCCTGCTTCTTAAACATTTATTTTTTACTTTGCACCTTATATTTGATACATAAAAATGACAGAAACAGTGGATGAAGCCCAGGGATTTCAGGTGGTCTGTTCTGAAGTACAAGTATAGGTTTTTTGGGGTGTTTTCCTTGTTAGCTTTGCTGGAGGGCAGGTTACACAGTAATTCCCCACCTGTCCCTTTTCTTCATCCTACCCCGTTCGTAAGGAAATGAAATAACGTGCTAGGTCTGAGCAGCAAGGAAAGGAAAGCATCTGTTTGGAAGTGATACTGAGTTGAATCTGGACTCTTCTCCTTTCCAGATGTTTGACTTAGATCAGATTAACCAGCCTCTTTGAGTATCTGTTAACCGATTTATACATGGAATGTAATTCCAGTTACCATGCAGGGTTGTGTTGAGCACTAAAAGAGATAAGGGGCTCTATGTAAAGCTTCCACTACTGGTCCCAGAATTCTAGGATAGCAGAATGGAGGCTGCTCAATGCAAAGTAGATGTCATCATAGGAAGTTTTTGTTTTATAGCCTATAAAGTACTTTGATATAATCTCATTAAAATCATAAACCATTCTGAGTTGTGGGACAGGTATTTTTGTCCCCCTTTAAAAAATGAAGAGAGAAAAGCTCAGCAACAGGCTGGTACCATGGAAAGAATCCAGTAGGGCAGAGGATTTCTGGTTTGTACTCTTTTTACAAATGGAGCCCTTGGGAGGTAGATTAGGCACAGGAAGCCTCATTTATTTACCATTGTCTTATTTCCAGTCTAATTTTACTCGGTAGCAGAACCAGATGGCTGAGGATATTCTGGACATTATGGATTTTGACCCCAAGGATATATATTATCCAACAAAGACCAGGTAGGCCAGAAGATGATAAGGTACAGAGTTAATCCATAAATATTTAAAGTTGTGTCCCAAGTTATACTTTGACAACGAATATATATCAGCCACTTGCAAATACTCTTGCTATATTTTATATATATATAATATGTATATGTGTATATATATATTATATGGCAAGAAAGAACAAGACCAGTATCATTAAACTTTAGGCTACTATGAGTTTTGAGAAATAAAAAGTTTGAAAAATAAGAACATTAACATTTCCACATAGAATAACGCTTGCTTGTTCTTTTCTATACTACAATGTAAAAATTTCTTTTGTTTTTGACTTAGGAAAGGAAAGGTTTGTGCCGCGAACAGGTGCTGTTTAATCAAGTCAGAACACGAGGCATATAGAAATAACTTTAATTAAAAAACTTACATAGAAGATTATAATGTCAGACATGACAGAAAGATTTGAGCTTATTTGCCTAGACAAATAAGTTTGGGTTTATCTGGCTTTTGTTTTTTAAAAATAAATGTACAGTAAAACTACAAGCAAAAATATGTCAGTATTGAATTTGAATTTTTTTTCTTCTTTAAAGGACTAGTAGAATTTCCAGTCCCTAACAAGAGTTTGGTGTCAGCCCCCCAGACAAGGCCAGGAGGCCAGGACTGTCAGTTATATGGGGACTATAACTTGAATAACCTTTTTTTACATGAGAGAAAGCGACTCATAAATTGTCCTCAACTTTTATATAGAAACAACTATGTAATAGCTTCAACAGGAATTTTCCTTAATGTATACCCCTGTATTCAGTATTGAAGCATTATCCCTTAAAAATGTTTAATTAATTCTCACTCTAGCATACAAGTAAGAATAGAGCTTGTTTGAATAGAGTAAGCAAGGCTAAGGAATGACCAAATTAACTAGAAATACAACATTTTTTACTCTCCTGTTTGTTGCTCATTTTAACTGGGGGTCTTCTCTTTATGAGATACATAAAATAGATAAAGCTCAAGTTTTAAAATTAGACCAATATTTAACTCTGCTTTGCTTGTCTTAATCTGTTAGGAGTGAATAGAAAATGACCTGTACTTGGTCCAACAGATAACAGTGATTTCAAATAAAAGGCATATTGTGTTATCTGGTATAGAAATTTCCATATATAACTTCTATTGGTTAAACATGTTTAAAAATAAAAAAAAAAATTCCCTCTCCATAATCACTGGAAACCTGTGCTTTACAGTGCAGCTTAACTTTTCATGGGATAACTCATACATGCATTTCAAGTGGAGTGGTCACTGCCAGTGTTTTTAAAACTACATGTGTGTACGTGTATGTGCTCTATACACACACATTTGTATATTCTGAGCTATTTCTGAGGCAAATTTAATGAATTACCATAGAAATTACATAGAAACATCTAGAAAAAAGAGCTGTAATCTGATGCACAGGTGTATCTGTGTATGTATGTACGTATGTGTACGTGGGTATGAAGTCTTTTAAAAATTATTTACCCAGTAATATGATTTAACATCAAGTTGCAGCAGTTAATTTTCTGGTGCTTGTGATTTGCATCATAAACACAAATGACTAGCACTTGTCTGCAGGTGAAAAGCTGGTTATTCCTGTGGTTCAAGGAAAAAAAGATCTACCTTGCCTGTTTTACAACAGCATAAAAGATTAGTACATGCAGCACATGCTCTTACTCTGGAACTGTGACGGAAGGGGTGGGGGATGGAGAACAGGGCTCATTTTTTCCTCCTGTTTTCCATTCAGTTACATACTTTTCTAACCTGTTCCCTGTCACCTGTTTTTTTTCACATGAGTAAGTCCTAGACCTAAAGGTTTGTATTCTTCCATTTTGTCTGTTTGCCTTTTTGGATGGTGACTGTTCTCTGGTGCACTAGTACAGAAGACTTCTCCACGGAAAACTGGGCTTGAACTTTCACTATGATCCTTTTTTTCATCTTGACATAATAAGGCTTCTGTGTCTTCATCATTCAGTGGAAAAGTCCGTCGTTCCCACCACAGAGACTGAAAGAGAAAACCTTTTCAGTTAAGTTTCAACTTATTGTCTGGTTCTTTAGCATATAAACGTACACATTTTCATTTGGATCTAAATATCTAGCAACTCAAATGGAACATACTGGGAACTGTTTAGAGACCTTTGGGAACTATCTTTTCACCTCGCCCTCCCACAAAGAGGAAATGCTTAGGGCACTGGGTCCTCCTTATCAGCACCGGAGCACTTTGGGAAAAGCCTCTTTAAAGGTGTTTTGATCTACTTGAGTGTCTCCATTTTCATTCCATATCTATTAACAGACATCTGTTGACTTTTCCTTCCTGGAGCTTTCTACGATTTGCCTATTAATTTTTAGAGTTTCTGCTCTCTGTTCTAGATACAGTTCTTCTTTTTCAACACCTACTTCTGAAGAACAGTGCAAAAATTTATACATGGTGTGTTAGAAATCACTCCCCGTGAGGTAAGAACTGGATCTATGGGGAGACAGGTAAAAATCTTTTATAAAATGAAGAGAACTAGCAGCTGACATTTGCTGTGTGCCAGGTGCTATTCTCTCTAATCAGATTTGTGTTGTGATGAAACTTTGATAGAATCCCCATTTCCTAATAGATGAGTAGGTGGAATTAGATACTGACATGTTCTTTGAAAAGATGAGCTGTTTATAATTAGTGATGGAACTAGAATGTTGGAATACATATCCTCTGATTTGTACCCAGCAGTCAATACTGGATTTGTTAATTGGCAACGGGCAGTTTCTACAAACGGTTTTTAGAAAGGTTTAGAGGCATTTAAAAAGAGGTTTCACTAGTCACGTATGTCATACTTGCCTTGAGGTCTTGACTTTCATTTAAGGAAGGTGAGCCCTGTGCACTCAGATCCAGGCTCTCTGGAAGAGGCTCAGCAGGACTCTCGGCAGCACGGTGCCGACCGCCACTACAGTCGTTAGGGTGTTCTTTCAAAAGCAAGTCCTGTCCTTCAACATTTTTACTGTAAGCTCTAGTAAGAAAATCAAGAAAATATTTAATTATTATTTCTTGAGGTCTTAACATTTTATGAACAACCCCTAAGTCAGTTTAACTTGGTGGCTTTGCTTTAAACAGTTCTGCCCAAAAGATTTCTAAAAATTCATTTGCCGATCCTCCTGATGCTTTCCTCAAAGACGTAAACAGTATTTGATACGTACTGTTTTATGAGGCTGCCAAATTATAATAGTGGGTTTTGGGATTTTAAGGAGGGAATTGTGTTTTGTTTTTAAATAAGAAAGGACAGTTACTTGACCCTTACAGTCTTTTGGAGTTCCAGGAGTCTTATAGGACACTTATCATGTCATCCATGTAGGACTCGATTCACATTTTCCTCTGTACTCCTAGAAAGTTATCTCTGGAATGTGGGGAAAGATGACAATTGAGTTTTATATGTGTGTTAAGACAACTCTTGGAATAAGGATCGACAACAAACCTGGATATTTTCAGACCTAAAGAGAGAAATGTGTTTTAAAAATACAGCTGAGGGGCACCTGGCTGGCTCAGTAAGTAGAGCATGTAACTCTTGATCTCAGGGTTGTGAGTTTGAGCCCCACATTGGGTGTAGAGATTACTTAAAAAATAAAAGTACAGCTGACCCTTGACTAACACAGGAGTTGGGAGCACCAACCCCCCGTGCATTCGAAAATTCACATATAACTTTTGACTCCCTGAAACTTAACTACTAATAGCTGACTGTTGACCAGGAAGCCTTACCAATAATATAAACGGTCGATTCACACATTTTGTGTATGTATTATACACTGTATTCTTAAAGTAAGCTAGAAAAGGAATTTATTAAAATCATAAGGAAGAGAAAATACATGCATAGTGCCATACATTTAAAAATCTGTGAGGGGACCCACACAGTTGAAACCACAAAGTTGAAACCTGTGTTTGAGGGTCAACTGTACTAAGTAAATGAGAGATGCTGCCATGTTAAATTTAGTGACTACTAGACTTCTTGATCTTCTTTTTGGAGTTTTGGCTGTATTAAAACACTGAAATGTAAATATAAAATACTGTGGACTTTCTCAAATATAAAATTACTAATTATGTTTTTAGGATTTAATCCTCCCTCCCCAAAAATCATATTCAAAGTATTTTAGACCATCTGTTTTTAACTTTTTAAATGTTTGTTTATTTTGAAAGAGAGAGGCAGAACATGAGCAGGGGAGGGGCAGAGAGAGAGGGAGACACAGAATCTGAAGCAGGCTCCAGGCTCTGAGCTGTCAGCACAGAGCCCACTGCAGGGCTTGAACCCACGAACCTTTAGATCATGACCTGAGCTGAAGTCTGACCCTTAACTGACTGAGCCACCCAGGTATCCTGGAACATCTGTGTCTTAGACTAGACAGATTTCTTGAGAAAATTTTTAAAAAAATAATATATTTTTTTAAGTGGGTATGTTAAAATAGATCACCCAGATTCTAATCCCTAGTGTAAGGTCTGCTATTACAGTACACTGAAATGACCTACTTTATCTAGGGAGAATTTTCACATTATTTGCTGAGTTAAATCTGTTCCTCACGGTGACAGTAAGCTTGAGTGGAGGAAAATAAGGAAGCTCATTTCATTCCTCTGTAATTAGCCAAAATGTGTACATAGAGAGAGCATGAGTTGGGGAGGGGTATAGAATCCCAAGGAGGCTCCATGTTATCAGTGTGGAGCCCAACACGGGGCTCAATCTCATGAAACTGAGATATGACTTGAGCCAAAAATCAAAAGAGCTGGATGCTTAACTGACTGCGCCACCCAGGTGTCCCAGCTAAAATATATTTTGAATGTAAGCTCAGTAAATGCAGTGTTTCCCTCCTGTGGACAAATAACTGATGTTATACAGTAAATTTTCTTCTTTTTAGTGGTCTTCCTCAATATTCATGCAGAATTTTGTTAATTCTACATGGATTTCATGGTTTTGGCTTTTAAATTGATAACACCTGCCTGCTGTTTCTTCTCTGCCACTTGCTTTGCTCCCATAGTGACCATCTGGCTTGCTCTCTCTCTTCATATTTTTTGTGTCTTAGGGAGAAGACTTCATCAGAAAGATCTTCTACCTGGAATTAGAAAGTTTTTCTTTTATCAGAAACATTTTGAAATATGACAACAATTCCTCATCAAGAGAACAATATAGGAAGAAAACTCTAAAGTAAATGCAGTCTAAATTGAGAGAACAAGTGTTAACGAGATGAACTTCAAATTCCAAAATCGAGGGAGTGACCTTTTTAATTTTTTTTTTACTATTGGGTCATGTTTGAAAACTTACCTAGATTACAGATAGGTTCACAGTGCTTTGTATAAAAAATTCTTAATGCTTAACTCATTCAAAGGTTTGTATTTGATTGCCCTTTATGGAGTACACTGTTTTAGGTACATGCTAATATCAAAGAAAAGTAGAACTGAGAAAAATGGAAATTAATGTAACTAATGACTTATCAGAGCTTCTAAGACTCTAGTATAGTGGTTTAAGAAGTTGGGTTTCCTTGCTAGAATCATTCTGAACTAGGGAAGAATTCATTAAAAAGTTGATTTGGTAGTTGATGAACAGTGGGCATGAAAAGATTTGATAGAAACAAAATACCTTACATAATACAGCTTCTCCAGACCATCACTTTCAAATTTATTTGGTTATATATTTTTCCCTGAAATTATTCTTAATAGAAGTTTTACCATACAGGCTCATAGTCCCTTTTATAATTCATTCGGTGACATAGCCCGATCTGGAATGATGAGGTTATTCCAATTTCTATAAATATTTCCATATAGAAGCATATTTGATTATGAGAACTATGCTAGACTCCCTATATGTCTTCTTTCTTAAGTCCAAAGTTTTCCAAATTCGAAAGTCGTTTGTTCCCAAGGTTTTGAATATGGCATTGTAGGGCTAAAGATTAAAACCAAATCTCCAGCAGAAAAACAGGATTAATACTGGGAATGAATATAAATATTAACATAAATTCAGCATTTCAACAATTCATGAGAGCAGATGACATGTTTTTCTTGTTTATATGTTATTGCCTTTGCAAATTTAAATTTGCACAAAAACATTTTCCTAATGAAATTAATATCCTTAATGAACTTTCTTTTCATAAGGGGAAAAAGGTCACTATATGCTAAAGGGCTTGTATTTCCCTTGAGTTCTTTAAATACTAAATTAAGCAGGCTTCATAATGTATACAGTGCAGTTATCCATAAGTGAAAGGCAACTTACCTCTTCTTCACCTACATTATATTCATCCAGAGGCTGAAGTACAGCCATTCTCCAGCTGTTGAAGATACAAACCAGTTTCAGTTTATGTTAATCTAAGTGTAAGGAATTGTATTCTCTAAGCACAGCTAATGCAGTACTGTTTTCTTTCCTTGGGACTTCCACAATTCAAATGGTTGTGTTTTCATACTTTTTTTAAGAAAGTTTATCTTATGAAAAATAGACAAGAAAATGAGATGTTACTTTTGGCCTTACAGTGAACAACAGTCTCTTCTGTGTAGCTGCATTTTATGCCTAAGAATATACTAATTTTGAATTAAGTCAATAGATGGTGACACAGTGGCTTGGCAGGAAAGAAAAAACAAAAAACCCGACTTGAGCATTTGCCAATTTCTTTGTGTGAAGACACCCAGCACGGCCTCTTGAGTTTAACCACTGGATCACAGAACTCCTCTATTTAAACAGCCAACACATCCAGCCCGCTGCAGCCTACCAGTGTCAATTGAGAAAACATCGTGCTGTAGAACATCATAACCGTCAATGGTACTCCTTACTTCTGTAGAATGTCTCAACAGGTTCTGTGGGATTTCTCATGATACCTCCTAGAATTAAGAGTTCTTAATACCTCAAAGTAATTAGGAATAAGAGAATTTGAAATCAGCTAATATAGAGAGGGGAGGGATTACTGTAGTTGACACTGAGCTTATGTCTGTTTCTACCATCTTCTATCTACTTTCTGGTGCCAGATTCACATTAAGAAACTGCTTTCATCATTGCTAAAAACAAAACTCCTTGACTAACTTCACTGCCACTAGGAGGCAGATCTGTATATGGCATTCAGGGACCTTTAATGCGATTCCAGTTTCTCTTGTAGCCATAACTTTATCACCCTACACAAAAGCTTGGTCTCTAGCTTAGCCTTGCACACTTATCTGTGTGCCTTTCTTGCGGTTTCCCTGTGTGAATAAACTTTCTTTTTCTCTCCTTCGTGACGTCCCGCTAATACGGTGTATATATTGCTGACTTGGCAATATATCAGAATCTTATTTTTGTTGTCACAGGTGTTATTGTCTTGCAGTGATTACCCCTTGCAAAGGTAGTTGCTTTCTTTGAACTCTTTGCAATCATCTACAAAACTGCATTTTAAAGAGCAAGGATTGTTACTATACTTATTTACATTCCTAAAGTACCTTTTAGTGCCGTATAGACATAAAAGATAACTAAACATTTAGAAAAGGACTGTGAGCATTAAAGTAAGTTAAGTCTTAGGAATTCCCAATTCTTAATAAGAACTGACAAGTAGAGTGACAATATATGGCACTTTTTTTCCAGCATGAGTAATGTAAAGGTTTCTTTCACCGTTTTCCCTCCATGGTTCTGTAAGTAGAAGGGAGAAAGCATCTTCTTTTCATTAATTTTAACTTCACTATGAAAATTTAAGTTTACTCAAGAAGAGAGACAATAAAAAGATGTAAGTATACATACCTTGGAGTAAGTATTTCCTTATATTGGAGTTTCTCTAACTTAGCTGGGGCAACTAATGACATGGGAATCACGATATTATCAATGTCATAAGAGCTCTCACTCCTCAGTCTCCGTCGCGCAGTATTCTGCAAAGTATGAGTGCAGCAGTTTTACAACAGTATCTCGTTACCTCTGTGATGCCTTCCTTTCGTGAGGACTATAATAGGTGTACTGCATACATGTTTTATAAATATGATAGAGTGGACTATAAAATGTTAAGAAAAACAAGCACACATATCTTTGGTAAAACAACACAATCTCTTTGGCAGGTGTGCAGTGTACATTTGTGTTTTTACACATATAAGCCTGTTTTTAAGACCATAAAAAAACATTAAAATGCCAAACTCTTACCAGAGGTTATCATAAAGCACCCATTGCCAAGGAAATGATCATTTAACAAACACTTCTTATTAGGAAAGAATATGAAATATTTGGTGTGCCATTTAGTAAAGATCATTTTTTGCAATCTTCATTTATGTGTTCCTCATCCCTGAGCTTTACAGTTTCTTCTAAACCCTTTCACCTTTTAACCCCTACTCTGACCAGATGACAAAATAGTAACACCACAAGTGCTGGATCCTTATTAGCAAGACTATATTTAGCTTCATGGTAAGGACTAGGGATGGTTGTGACAGTTTTTCACAGGAAAGAAAAAGCCACAATCAAGGATTGCTGAGCAGTTAGCTCACTAGTAAAAAAGTTTAATCAAATTTATTGCTTCCTAAGAAGATCACTCTAGGGGCACCAGGGTGGCTCAGTTGGTAAGCGTCTTGACTTCAGGTCATGATCTCGAGGTTTGTGAGTTGCATCCCTGCATCAGGTTCTCGGCTGTCAGCACAGAGGCACTTTCGGTCCTCAGTCCTCCCCTCTCTCTGCCTCTGCCCCTTCTGTCCTCTCCTGCCCTCCCTCTCTCAAAACCAAACAAAAACCTAAGTAGGCCAGTATGTACACGTAAAATAAGGCTACTAAAGATTAGCAAAATCTAAGTTTTTTGCTGGCCAGTTTTAAAAGTCTACAAGCAATTTCAGAGTTCAGTATACCAAAAAACCTACTTGTGATGATGAATTCTGGCTTCTTGATATAACATTGACATTAGTAACAGCAGTAAAACTGCTATGGGATCCTGGTTCTGTGCGTTGAAAAGCAAATTCTTCAAGTCTAGTTCTTTCTCCTGCCATGGAAAGAACCATTGAGAATGTCATACATTAAACATGATGATAGGTGTTAAGATTACTTTGTAATTAGACAACATTCCTTATCTGTGTGATCTTTTTATTTTTAAAATTTATCAAAAACAAAAAATTAAGGAAATGAAAAAAAATATTACCCACGGTTCTGTCACATTTTCATTTTCTTGGGTCTTGACAACTTTTTATCCAGTATATCTGATTTTTTAAATCTCATTCCTTGTTTTGACTCTTCATGTTTTCTGTAATGCCTATTTGGATGTTAACCTCCAGAGACTTGCCCCTTAATTTTCTCTGTTCATTTTCTTTGCCTTTTTGTTTTAATTCCTGGGAGATTTCCTTAACTTGATCTTCTGACCACTACTGAGACTTTTTCTACTAATACATTATAGTACTAACTTATAATTACTTAGGAAAATATTTTTCCATTTGTTTTGGTGCCTGGATTGTGAATATATATGTATATATTCACTTGTTTACTGCCCTTGTTTATTTTACTTTAACACTGATCTTAAAAAGTATTTTCCTATGTAATATAAACTCTAATACTCAGTCTATATTTATATTTTTCTAGTTGTTAAAAAATGTCCTTTATGGTTAGTAGTTTCTTCAAATATTGAAACTGGTTATTGTCTTTTAGGTTTCTTACAATCTAGAAGAGTTTGTTTTTCATGGTATTTGTTAAGGAGACCAGCTATCCTGAACTTTAGGGAGTTATGTAGTTCTTTATAGAGTAGCACTTATTTGTTCTATTCTTGTATTCCCATCAAACTTGAAGTTATGAAGTTAGATCAATTCAGGTGAAACATTTTATATTTTAGGTCATCTGAATTTCATAGTGGTTCTTATTAAAAGATGCAAGTTTTCCTGTGCTGGTATATAGATAGGCCCCAACTTAACAATGGCTCTACTTAGGATTTTTCAACTTTATGATAGTCCTAAAGTGGCATGCATTCAGTAGAAACCGTACCTTGAATTTTGACCTTTTTCTGAGATAGCAGTATGTGGTAAGATACCGTTAGGCTGGGCAACAAGCTACAACTTCTGGTCAACCATGTGATCATGAAGATAAATAGTCAATACACTTAAAACCATTCTGTACCCATACAACCATTCTGTTTCTCACTTTTATCACAGTATGGAATAAATGGTAGAAGATACTCAACACTTTATTATAAAATAGGCTTTTGTGTTAGAGGATTTTGCCTAACTGTAGGCTAATTTAAGTGTTTTCAGCACATTAAAGGCTAAGCTATGGTGTTTGGTAAGTTAGGTGTATTAAATCTTGACTCAAGATACTTTCAACTTACCATGGTTTTTCGGGATATAACCCTGTTGTAAGTCGAGAGAGGAAGATCTCTACATGTATGTTAGTTCCTCAAAAGCTAGGTTACTCTTGGTGTTAAGATCGAGGCACTAAAAAGCACAATGGAATCTCTGGATGTGGCCAGGAGTTTAATTCTGTGCCACGCCACGTCCTCAGGTAGGGACAATCAGGTAGTGGCTTGGGCTGTTAGGGTGTGATTTCTAGAGACTGAAGTGATCAGTGTATTAAATTCATCAAGTATAATTACAGTCCAGCACATCTTGAATGCTGTTTCTAAATTTGGGGGTATATTGACATATCTGGGGGACACTTGAAAACAGTGTTCTGTCCACTGGAACAATGAACGAGAACCAAAAAAGTATATAGATCATTTTCTATTTAAATATGTTTCCTGATTTTATTTTTAAATCATTATTTGTACTAATTTTGGAAACCATTTGATAGTCCCAAGTCCCCGCAACAAACCCCATTTTGTATTATTAGAAGAGTTCTAGTTTCAAAGATACCTGTTGACCATTTTGTAACTATAAGTTCGTAAGAGAACTGAACTACTTGGCTGAGTTACCTTTGGTGGATCTCAGCCAATTTCTCAAAATTCTAAGGAAGCTTCAGCGAATTGACAGTACCAGAAGTGGTAATACGTTTCTATAAGGTAACTTTGTACTGACATATTTGGAGTCCAGAACACAACCTTGGAAGCTTAAGTTCTATCCAGGAAGACAGCAGAAGATAACTCTGGAGAGGGAAAGTAGGAAGGAAACCCTTAATTGCCATTAATGGATGGATGCCCAGTCCACAGACCATTCTGAATTGACTATGCTGTAATGTTTATAGGACCATGGATATTTTGTGTAATTAGTGATTATTCTGGATTATAAACTCCCATGAAGCAGTAGTTCTTTGAGGATCAGAATTTATTTTCAGTTTTTAGTACTAGTGCTCATATTCTTGTTTTAACCTACCTAATGCTGTTTCACTCAAGTGTCTTTTCTTTCTTCCCTGGAACAGCTGTACAGAAGATTCTGACCTTATCTGAGGCTTGCATGTAGGAGAATATCCATTTCTCCATTGATTCAGAGAAGTATTATGTACTAAAACAAATAGAAAGGAAATGTGAAGTTTCTTTCCCTTGACACAGATAATGAACGTGTTAATTTCTTATAACATTGCAGAACATTAATTCACCACTTCAGAATTACATATGAGATACTTATATACCAAAATGGAATGATCCTACGCTGAAAATGCCCATAATAAGATTCCTTAAAAAACATCTTCGATACGTGTCCAATTTCATTTAGTTGCTCCATTATTTGAAGGGGATGAAAAGGTGACCTGTTCTTGAAGTCTTCTAAATTGCAAAGTTTTATAAAGAAGGTTGGTTTACATCTGTAAATGTTGCCTGAACATGATCTGAATCCTTAAGTTAGGCCCTGCTCACCCTTAAATGTGAAAATAATTCAGGATCAAGTAAGACCCTACAGAATTAAAACAGACTGGGACCTCTTGAGAGCAAGAACCAGATTTCATCAAATGGATGGTACCTAGCACCATTCTTTCAATTTTAAAAGCAATGTATTTTCTAAAACTTTTAGGTCACTTAATGTCTCTGTGCCTCAGTTGCCTTATCTGTAAAATAGGGATAAGTGTAGCAATCATGGGATTATGAGGATTAAATGAGTTAATCCCTATAATGGTCATTAGGAAGAGATATACCCTACGTATTTAATAAATGTTAGTTTCTTCATGATCATTGTTGATCTAAACCCCATATTTCCAGTACTGGATTAATAACCAAATTGGCTTCTTTTTTGAAGGGGTTGGAGATGTGTAAAGGAATGGAAAAAGAAATGAAGGCCTACATGCCAAATTCTCACCAACACTGAAAAATAGAGTATGATTGTCTACCAACAGTAACCGGACTCTGGTTTCAAGATGGCAAGGCACCCTAAAAATAATAGAAGTTTTATACATAGATGCAACACAGAGATCTGCATGTATACATCCACATTAGTAAGCAATAAAAGGGAACTTGTGAGTAAAGCAGAATTTGTAAGGAATCTCTGAAAGACTAATACCACATGGAATTTGGAGAGCAATCAATGCAAAAACACATGGGAAAGTGCTGCCACAAAAATATGACCATCAAAGGTGCTCTACACCTGTAGGAAAGGATTATGGAAAATAATTACCCAGATGGGACGGTTATCTGATAGGATGACTACACATACCAACTTCTCAGCCATACCCCTTGAGATTGTCTTAAGGTAACAAAATCTGAGCCAAGCAGAGAAATGGATGAGAAAGCAATGCCCAAGTGCCTCACTTTGAAATATGTCCTGCCTGACCCTAACTGCTCCTGAAAACAGTATACAGTGCAATGTCTACCAATTCGTCAAAATGATCCCATATAGAGCAGTGGCAGAACAGTCTTAATAGTGAGTTATGAACTTTAAAGGTGAGAACAAAAGGGTCCAAAAATCTGAATACCAACACTATTAAAGACAAGATGTACAAATGAACCATCTCAAGTAGTAGTGAATGGATTCACGGAATGCAGTTAACAAGACTAAAAAAAAACTAACATTGCCAAAAGAAACAGGCAAAAGGCCCCATTGGAGAGCCCTCAGAAACAGAAAATAATTATTCAAATTTAAAAACAACCATCACTAACTAGGCTGAATAATAGAATGGACACTGGCTAACCATCAAAATCTAGGTTAACAGAATTGTACAACTAAGAGGAATAAAGTGATGGGAAATATGGGGAGGGGAGTCAAACCAAAACTGGGTAACAATGAATGGGATCCAACGTTGAAGAAATGATTGACCAAAGTTTTTTCATAATCAATAAAAATCAAAAAATCAAAAAAAATATTAAACCTAAGATTTCAAGAACTCGCTTGATGGTCAAGACAAGTGGGAAAATTCTAATCTGACAGCACATCACAATGAAGATATCCTAAAACTTAGCAGAAAAGGGATAAGGTTACTGCAAAGAAATGATCAAACTGACAAGGCAAAACTAGCTACCGGAAAACAGAACAGTGACTTTAAAGATCTCAGGAAAAATGGCAGAATTCTAAGATGGCCCCAAGATTTCTTACCACCCAAAGAATGCAGAAAAAGATGTCACATAGAAAACAAAATAAGATGGCAGGCATAATTCTAAACTCATTTCTAGAAAGGGGTAACTGTATCTGTGAAGTTTTAAATGTGTATGTGCCTGGTATGGGCAGGTATTCCAAGAATGCTCTCTCTTGTTTTAATGGAAACATTTCTGGAGTATTTTCAAACAAGTCCCAGTCAATTCACTCTTCTCTTCTAAAAGCAATTCTTCACTTTACTTTTTTTCTAAAAGCAAATCAAAATTATTGAGGAAACTTCAACCTTCCCTAAGGTGATACATCTTACTGAATTTTAATTATTTTCCTTACACTTCCTTTCCCTCATTTAATGTCTTTTGTGAGGCTGTATTGGAATCTTGGAACAGTAGGAAATATGACAATTGAAAAAGTATACATTCTCTTCACCTATTTATGATAACTCTTAGCCTTTCATTTCTTGCTCTCCAAAATCCTCTCCTAGATTCTATCCTAAAACATACCTTGACCCATGTGTCTCCTTGTCTCCTACCTTCCCTTTCATTTATTAACTTTATACAGACTTAATTACATGTCAAGTACCCTAGGGACACTGGTGAGCGGAGTCATGATCCCTGCCCCTAATGGAGTTTACAGGCATTATCTCAAAAATTGCAACCAATGTGTAATAGAAAAGAGAAGTACTATTTAGAGAAGTTAATGGGAGTATGTAACAGAGCTAGTAAGAGAGCTCTAGGAAAAGTGCCCCCAGGTAAAGTCATAGATCTCAAATATGAACAGAAATAGCTGATTGGCAAGGGGGAAGAGAATGTAGAGTCCCAACAGGGATCCAGATAAATCTGGCAACAGAACAGAAGCTAGGTAGTTTAGAGTGAGGAAGGATGGTGAAAAAGAGCCATGAAGCAGGTATGAGCCATCCTGTGTGGGGTAGGGCTTTAGGGGGTCCCCCTATAATACTTTCAAATAGTTTAAGGAATGTGGGTGAGCAGAGCAGTTGTGACATAAGTAGCTTTTCATTTTGAAAAGATCACTAGCTTCAGGGATTATAGTAAATAATTGATCTTTTCCTAAACTGAAATAATTTAGGAAATAATTGATTAGGCTATTTCAGCAGTATAGACAAGGGATCGTTAGGTTGGCCTGTGAAAGTGGTAGAAATGAAGACAGGAGCATATCTGAAATGATTATGATCAAAATGACAATGGGCTTAGATATGAGGACATGTAGGTGAAGAAGCCTGAGCCCTAGGGGTTTTTTTTGGCTTGTTTGTGTGGATTGTGGCACTACCACTCCTTTCATCTGTCCACTAAAAAATAAACTTCATTTTGACAATTTCAGACTTGCATAGTAAAAAGAAGTCCCATGTAGCCTTTACTCAGAATTCTGCAAATGTTGTTTACCGTATTTGCTTTATCCTTCTGAACTCCAATGAAATTAAGTTGCTGACATGATGTACCTCTCTATCAATATGTATTTTTCAAAAACAAGGGCATTCTCTTACATAGATATATAACTATCAAAATCAAATTAATACTATCAGCTAACTATGGACTTAATAGAATGTCACCAATTATTCCTATAATGTTATTTATAGAGAATTCTGTTCATTCCACATTTAATTGTCATATCTCTAAAGTTTTCTTATATCTGAAACCATTCCACTGTTGTCTTTCATGACTGTATGTTTTGATGAGTACAGGCCCTTAATTGGCCTGGTATTTCCTCATGATTAGCAACTAATCATTCACTTCCTATCCACTGCAATTTGTCTTTTTCCTACTTGTTACCTGAAGGCAGCTGTGGTTTCTTAATTGCCAATTCTACTGGACAACAGAGGATAAACACAAACTCTGTGGCAAAGCTTGCAAACACCCATCTACTTACCTTCACACAGTTTACACTGTAAGAATACTAGGCATTCTGTATATACTTGAACACCTCACCCTGCTTTATGGCTCTGTGACAAATCACATCTTGGTTTCTATTTTAAAACCAATATGGGTCCAAAGCATTTTAATTACCTGGGACTTTGACAGAAATCCAGAAACAGACTCCATTCCAGGCTTACTCAACCAGAATCTGCATTCTAACAATATCCCCCAAGTAAACTGCACATAAAAGTTTGAGAAACTATGATTTGGAACACTTTACTCCTCCTCTAAATTTCAATTGAATATTTAAAACTACGCTTGGCATCACCATTTTTCTGGAGTTGCTCTTGCCCTTTCCCCATCACTCTGTCTTCCTCTAGGCAGAGGGTTCTACACTTCCTCTTCTTTTTAGAATATTTTTGTCATATCTGTGTTCACATTTTAATAGTTATTTGTGTGTCTGCTTCCCCCTATTACATTATAATTTCTTTGATTCCCTGTGTTTCACCTTTGATTCCTTAGCACTTAGTCTGCCTGGCACGGAGTATATGATCAATAAATGTTGAACTCTAGTTTTACTTAATTCTACAGAAATCACTAATAATAAAAGAAAATAACTATTTCAGACATGCTTTTATAGGATGAAACCTAATTAACTCTTAATTATTTGGGTTGGGAGTGGTAGGGGAAGAAAAGAAGGAAGGAGAGATGGAGATAAAGAAGAATATCTTGATGATTTGCCTAAGAATACTGAAGCACTCACCTCAAATGTCTTCCCTTCCTAGCTCTTAATTCCTCCTAACTAGCATGTCATTGCATCACTGGTAAGTCACCATTAATTCTGTGCCTAACACATTTACAATGCCCTATCTTTTTAAGTCAAATAACAGAACATTAGAAAAAATATAATCACTGAATCTCACTTATCTAACAGCATATAGTTTCACTTTTGCATATTCTGTCAGTCAGACACATGCATACATTTCATATTCACATTTCAAATGTAGTTTCATTTAAATATATGTACAATTGTATTTTTCAAATTTGATAATTCACTACAAATTATTTTTTTCAGATGGTTGTCTAATATTCCTCTGTTTAAAGATAATATAACTTAACCATTCCCTAGCTATTAGAGCTGGTTATTGGTATCACGATATTTCTATTACGGTCATTCTTAAAATAATCATCTTCATGCATACACTTTTTTTCTTTTTCTAAGATCAGACTCAGGAAAAATTTAAAGTAGTAGAATTATATCATGAAAAGTTACCTGCACATAACCTATATTTTCCTGTATTTCTTTAGTCTTTTTTCCCTAAGCATAGGCAACTGCTGCTCGTCCTTAGTGCTTTCCAATTTTTTTTTTTTAATTTTTACTGTGGAAAAATTTCAACAAATACAAATGAGGAAGAGAAGAATGAACTATCCTGTACCTATATTCATCACCAACTGGTGAACAAGCTTGTTTCATCTTTCTCCCCACCAACTTTCTTTTTGCTGGCCTATTTTAAAGCAAATCCTGGACAGTCTATCTTATATATTGTCATGGACGTATGTGTGAGCTTCAATTTCTAACAAACAGAAAAAAGTATGTATGTGCTTATGTAACCACATGCATTACACTTAACAAAATTAATTCACTAATATTCAACAGCCTTGCATGTTCACATTTCAAACTTTTATTATCTCAAAAATTGTGTGTGCTTGTACAGGTGAGCTGTTCAAATCAGGATCCCCAAAAGGCCCACATGTTGCATTTGGTTGAAAGAAGAATGAACATTTTTACATGGTTATAATCAGACCGTATGCAAAAGTAAAACTGTTTTGTCCTTTTCTATCACTTAACAGTCTTTGATGTTTCCATCCTTACATGATCTTTTGAGATATTTTGAAAAGCTATATGTTCCACTGTGGTGGTTAATCACATCTTACTTATGCTCTTTGTTTCCAATTTTCCATTAACACAAATAGTGATTAAAATGAATATATTTGTAAATACAAATGAATATATTTATATTTAGGATTGGACTAGGTTATTACAAATGGATGTATTGGGTCAGTAAACAGGTCACAGTTTAGTAATCATTAACTGTGAGAAAGTGAATAAACTGTTTTTCTTCAATGAGCTTATTGTAAAAAATATGTAGTTTAGGGGCGCCTGGGTCGGCTCAGGTCATGATCTCACAGTTCATGGGTTCGAGTCCTGCGTCGGGCTCTGCTGACAGCTAGCTCAGAGCCTGGAGCCTTATTCAGATTCTGTGTCTCCCTCTCTCTCTGACCCTCCCCTGCTCACACTGCCTCTCTCTCGCTCACTCTCTCTCTCATAAATAAATAAAATAAAATAACATAACATAAAATAAAATATGTAGTTTAAGGGCACTGTCATTCATTTCCCAGTACTTTCCAAAAGGTTTGTATTCTTAATGCTACCTAAAATATTTTTTTAGTTTCTGTTTTTACTACACAGCGTTGCCAGAATTGATGATTATAATGTTTGAATGTATTAACATAATCAGAAAATAGTAAATGTTTAGCACAGTGTCTGCATAAGCACTCAGTATATGTTACTTATGATTATCATTTTCATTATCATCATTAAATACATCTAGCTTTTCTTCTAATTCTTTTAAGACATCATTTTTAACATTTAACTCTTTAATCCATCTGGAATGTATTTAATGTTCACCCATCTTAAATTTGTTTTAATGTGATGTATGAGGTAGAGATCTCATTTTTTTCCCCAAAAGTCATTGTTTAATCCATTGATTACAAAGGAAACTTACTTGTTTAAAAAATGGAGTCGCTTAGCCAGACTGCTTGGATTTGAATCCTGGCCCTATCACTTACTCAAATGCGACTTCTGGAAAACTAGTCAAGGAGAAAAACAATACTACTACTCCCTTTACAGAGTTGTACAAATGAAAGCAATTAACAAATATAAATTCCTCCAACTATTACTAGCACTTAAGGAATGCTTCAAAAGAATTATTATTTATTGACAAGACCATCCTTTCCACATGGATAGGAAAAAAACACTTATCTTATATTGGACAGTTGGGTCTATCTCTAAGCTATTTAGTTCCTTTGATCTGGCTTCCATTAGCACCAAAAATGATTATACCTTTATAATTTTGATGTCTGATACCTCCTTCTTACTGTTGTTTTTTAAAAATTTTATTAGCTATTCAACATTTTTTCTTTGAGATAAATGAATAACTCTGTTCCAAAAGAAGAATACCTCCATGATTCTAATTAGAGTTACATTATAAATTAAACTAGAGAAAAGTAATATTCTTAAGTTACAAAACTGTCTTCTGATAGGAACAGGGTATTTCTATTTAGGGACATAACCTTGCATTCCTCAATAAACTTGGGAAGTTTTCTTCATGTAGATCCTTACAAATTTAATTAATCCTAGATATTTTATATTTTCATTGTCAATATCTCAAAAATTCCTTTATATATTGTAACTGGTTATTACTGGTATTTACAAAAGTTGCTGATTTCTATAAATATATTTTAAAATCCTATACTTTTCTGGACTCCAATTCTAATAGGCATTTAGTTGATTCTTGAGTTTTTTGAGGTAGATGATTATTTCATCTAGAAAGACTTTATCTCAGTTTGTATGAATTTTCTGATGTTGGAAAGGTTTTAGCTTTGTAGATGGTAAAAATATGTTGACCTTTATTTTCTTTTGTTTCCAAGCACAGACAATGTCCCTTCCCCCATTCATAATACTTAAAACTATTTCATTATAATTCTTCAAGTTTTATTTTGTAATTTCGGGGTATTATTTCAAGTTCTTGAAACCAACTAGAATTTATTCTGATACATGGTATGAAATAAGTATGTAAATAAAATTTCCTCCAAAAGACTAACAATACTACAAGTACTGCTTACTGAATAGTTCTCCACGTTCTCATGAATTTACAATTCTTCCCTTATATAGTCTGCTTCACGGATTTACTTTCCTAATTGTATGCAAAATCTATGCTAATAACTATTACATATTTTTGTTTTGTTTCCATATGTGTTAAGATGAATTCTCTGAATACTTCTTTCAGCAATTACTCTGTATTTATTCTTTCCAGTGGGCTTTATAATTATTTTGTTAAGGGAACCAAATCTATTAGAACTTCAAATTATAAACCAATAGGAAGAATTGATATTAATTTAGGAATTAATTTATTCCTAATTTAGGAATGCTGTTTCTCGAAGTATATTTAGATTTTCTTTTATATTTATCAATAATATTTCAAAATTTTCATTCAGTAAGTATCACATTTCTTAAGATCACTCCTGGGTATTTTCTGTTTGTGTGTGTATGGTAATTTGTAAAAAGTGAATATTAACAATTAAGGATTTACATTTGTTCCTTTGTTAAGTTTTATTTCCTTGGAAAGCAAAAACAATGAGTATCTGAAAGATATAAAAGATATATAAAGTACAAGATTTGTAAATGACATACCAGGTGATGGAGATATGACACAGTCTCCTACTAATTTATTTTCAGCAAGATCTCCTTTTATTTCAGTCTTTTTTAACAATGTTTCAAAGTGAAAGTGAAGAGGCACATCTGGGAAAAGAATGTAAAAGTACTTTTAGTGAGTACCATTCTCTATAGACTCAAATATTAAGATTGGATTCTTTCTCTAAGTAGCATATAAGCTTAGAAAACTAAGCAAAAGCTTGAAATGTCACAACTATCAGAAGTGGCAAAATACTCTTTCCAAGCATACAGAGGGCAGTACTTTGGAAATTACTGATTATATGCTCTAAATGAGCAAAAACTGATGATGAACAAGTTCATAAACCAAAATAATAGACGATTAAAATTATTAGGATTAATAAGTAGTATTCATAGATGGAACAAATGCAGCCAAAGGTCTTGAATAAAACATAGAGCAAAATTTGGCTCATTCCACCCCACCCCCACAAACTTGAGATTTCAAATAATGAGGTTTCTAAAAGATACATTATTTTAATTACTTGAGGGAAAACCACTATAATTCAGATGCAACATTTTATAAAAATACCAAGGTTCACATTCCCTTAATTTACTAGTATTATGAATCATAAAATACACTTTTACAAAGATGAAAACACATTTCCAGACTATTCCCTTCATTTAAATAGACTTAAGATGTTCAATTCACTATATTTACATTCTATATTTTTACAACCAAAAGAAGAGCTAAATAATAAAGTAGATGTACTTCACATTTATTAAATGTTCTTTTTCTTCAATCAAGAATACTAAAACAAAACCATCTTTAAAAGCATTTAATAAAGACACCTAAACTTCTTCGTGAGACACAAATATTTTATAAAGCAGTTGATGTATTTAAAGTCTTGCTACTGAAAAAAAATAATTACAAACATATAAATTAGAGCAGACTTAGATGAGTCTGGATTTTAAACAAAGAAGAACCAAGCTCTTAAATGCTGTATTTTAATAACAGATCCATACTCATGTGGAAAAAAAAACTAACCAAAATAGGTTCATGAGTTTCAACATGGAGTCTGTCCCAAGGGACAGAACAGAGGTAGGAAAGATTTCAGTCCCAGTACTATGTACTATGATCATACAAAAACTACATAACAAAATGAAACTAAGAATACAAATTAAATACGTGACTTAAACATTTAGGAATCCAATGGTTCCCATTACCAAAAAATAAGTTTATTTCTCCAAAGAAAAATCACTTATTTTTTATAAAGAAAATACCACCTATTATATATACCACTGTTCGGCATAAGTTGTGAGAAAACTACGTAACTGGGGGAAGGCCCTTGTTGCATCCATATACCTTTCTTGGCACCCACCCTATGACTTTTGGGCTTTTATAAAAATATTTCTTAACACTTTAGTACACTGCTCAGTTTACACTTCAGTTGTCTTAAACTAGAATGCAAGTACTTTGAAGGATTTATTTGTATTTATACTCCTAATACCTACTTAGTACCTAGTAAGCAGTATGTACTTAATTTTTATTAAATGAATGCAAGAAGAAATGAATAACCCTAATTAGTAGGTAGGAAAGTTAATCTTAACTTATTGGAGGGGACCTAAGAGGATTAAAATGAAGGATAATTATACCAATTCTCAGGGTTTTATCCTCAGAGAAACAAATGTACAATGAGAAAGCAGGCAGTAAAGAGAAAGGTTAGGAGTGTGGCTGTGGAGTATGACTACCTCACATCAAATCCTACCTCCATCATTTATTAGCTGTATAATCTTGAAATAGTAATTTAAAATCTCTTAGCTTCAATTTTCTTGCATGTAAGATAAAGAGGACAGCTATGTATTCTCATACGGTTGTTGAAATAAAAAAAATGTAATGTGCTTATAGGTATTGCTAAGCCCAAATGTTGGGCTTATTATTGTTTCTTTCTATTATTAAGGTTTCCTCAAAGATGGAATAACATAGCTCCTGCCAGGAACTTACTTCAAAGTATTATGTAGCTAAGAAACCACTCAAATACTGATTAAAAAAACAAAACAAAACAAAAAAAACAAACCTAAGATTCAGGATTCCAGGCAGGACTAGGTACAAGAAATAGTGCTTTGCAAAGAGGAGCAATCCCTGGATGATTAAAACCAAAAGCTGAAAAGTAAACATAAAAGCCCATTTGAGATGTCTTTCCCATGAAGAGAAGAACTTGAAATAACCGGTGTGAAGAATATTTCCTTTTTTACCCTAAATATTTACTTCAGTTCAATATAGAAACAATTGGAACAGTTCCAACAAAAATCAAGAACTAGAAACTTAATGGGGGGTGGGGCTGTATGTGCCTCATTTACTCAGTTATAGATTATAGACTTTCTTGAGGTTCAAAAATTGGCTACACCTAAAGATAGGCAATTTTCTTCTCTGGGAAAAAACTCATGCTGATTATAAACAGAGGAATATTATATGGCAAAGAAAACTCCATACAGAACAATACATTAGAAAAACAACAATGACTTCCTGAGAAACATTTTCAACAGCATAGTCATCAATAAAATTCTAAAAATTTAACCCTGAAAAGATCAAAAGCTACCTATTTCCCAATGTAAATCAAAATAGTTTCCAAGGAATTAAAGAATCAACTTGCAAAGATAGAACATTAACTCAGGATTAATTTCTCTATGAAAACTTTGATTCTAATATCCAGTGGCAAAATAATTGATATAATTTTGATTCCTTATATCCATAGACTTACATTTCACCATAGAAATAGTCACGTTACTTAGAAATTTTTTATAAGTAGGCTTACCTGATGGCAATGATAGGACAGAATGGAAAGATGAGTCCAATTCTGATACATGCTCTCTTAATATCTGAGATTTTGAACTGTGTTCACAGCTACTCCAAGTTGAAGCTGATTGCAAACAAGGCATTTGTGTTGTATTTAAAAATGTTGTTTCTTTTGAAGGCAAAGTCTACAAGGGATAAAAAAAACAACAACTTCATTTTTGCTTAAAAACAGAATCAATCAAGGAAGATATAACAGTTAATCAAATACAATATCTGAATGACACAAGAAAGTCCTAGTTTACTAAATCACCTTGGAGAAAGAGCTTGAAAATGACAAAGGGATATACTCTCTATCATTTATTAAAGGCCATAAACATGATGAGATTTCACTAATCCCCTTTCAGTTTCCAAAAGGAAGAGCAACATCTGTGAAAATGGGCCTTTCCTTTACCTTACAAAATCGTAATAAGGAAAAATGAGTTTGAGGAACTTTGGGTTAAAAGACAATGGCTAGAGGGCACCTGGGTGCTTCAGTAGGATAAGCATCAGACTTCAGCTCAGGTCATGATCTCACAGCTCATGAGTTCTGCTTTGGATTCTATGTTCCCCTCTCTCTCTGCCCCTCCCCCCCCTCTTTAAAATAAACATTTAAAAAGTTAAAAAAAAAAAAAGACAATGGCTACATTCCCTATTGGTGAGAACTATAAGTGATGGTGAGCACGTGCTATGTTAGGATTAAGAATCGTGCATACTGTTTTCCTCACTGTAAATCCGTTACAATCAATGAATGAAACTGGAGTCTCTCCCTCAAATTCCAATGCCAGACTATATCTACACTGGAGTAACTGTGAAGTATTATGAGTACTGTACTATTTATATTAGGTAAAATTTGACTTAAAACATTAAAAAAATGTATAAAACACACAATATGTTACACGAGTTTGCGTTTCTGAAAATAAAGATTTGAGTCCAGGAATTCTAGAAAAACCATGTGGCTAAGCCAAACAAAAGTTATCTTACTACACTAAGAAATACATATTTTGTTTAAAAACTGGATTTTAAATTCTTTTTTTCTGGTTATAAAATTAGTAAACAAGCAAAGATCTATAAAACAGAGAAAATATTTTTAAAATAGAGCTCACCTGTACTCCTTTCCTCAATCTTAACCTCTATTACCCCCTATAATAATATTTGGACTCATTGTGTTATTTAATGTAACTGATATTTAAAATGCTAATAAGAAGTGAGATCTTTAGATGCTATTTTTAAACATTTTATTTTATAAACTTACATGAGGTTTGTCAACTTTCTTGAGTTTGAATTTCCTAGCTAACCTTAGCATTTTCTACACTTCCATAGCACCTTAGGCATATCTATCTCTACAACAGCATTCAACTTTTTCTGGACTATTTTTCTGGACTATTATTAGCTCCTTGAAGGCTGGGACTATAATTTGTCTAATACTGTATTCCCAGAACCTGACACAATCCCTGACATATGGTTGAAACCTGAATGCTAACCAACTGCATTTTATCTTACTTGCTTTAATAAAAATTATGCCTGAGACTATTTCATGGGGGGGGGGGGGGACAGTTCCTGTTAACATATGCTAAAATTTATCATGCAGTGACTTCTATTTACATTCCATTAGCCAAGGCCTCGGTCAGAGTCATAGCTAGCCTCAAGGAAGGTTAAGAAATACAGACATTCTGGAAGGTCAAGTAAATCAATGAGTTTTTATAAAAAGATATAACATGCTTACACATGATTATAATAATGTGAGTTATATCCAAGATTTATTCAGTGATGTATATGTATATATTTATAGGAACAATTGCTATTTTTTATCTTTATAAGATACACTGATGCTTTGGACTCACTCTAGAATTATTTGTTCTTTTATGATGTACTTCAGAAAGATATAAAAAAGTTTTTTGAAATTACAAAGAAGGGTGCTAATCTCCCTTTTCCTTATATGGATAGAGCATATGAATAAAAGGTGATAAAATCTGAATATTTACCATATAATTAGTTTTCTCTTGCAATTTTTTTCCAACTCCAGGAAACCCATTAGCCAATTTGAAACTATCCTAAACAATTTTGGAGACAAGTGAGGGGCATCTAGGAAAAGGTCTTTTTGTTCCCTGCAGAGAAAGTGAAGCCCGGGAGGCTGAAAAGAAATGGATGGAAAAATAAGAGAAAAACCAGGAGATTCTTGCCAATAAAAATTCAAATGTTTAGAGGGTGTGATCAACAGTACCATATGCTGCAGAAGATTCAAGCAAAACAAAGCCAAAAAGTATCCTCTAAACTTCTTGGCTTTAGTAATGAAAAAATTTAACATATATAAAACTACATAATTTACAGGGAATGCATAAAATAAATTATTAGAAGGACACCTATACTTACCATCCTATTTCAAGAAACAGAACAACACTCATATGCCTTCTCGTCCTACCCTACCCTCCTACCCCAATGAGCCTGTGGCAGACATTCCTACTTTCCTCCCGATATCTGTGCTCTCTTTGTGTCTGTTGCAGAACTACTGATTTTCAGCTAGGCACATTTCTCAAGCCTCTTTGGATCTAAAAAATGACTATATTCTAGCCAGGAGACCATGAAGAGAAGTCATATGTGCCACTTCTGGGAAGTGACCTGAAAGGTCACGTATTGCCTCCATCCTTCCATGTTACACTTGAAACATAATGGGGGTGCTGAGCTACCATAACCATGCAGATGAGGATAATACTTAAAAGATCAAACAAAAGAGGAGCCTAGCTCCTAGATAACCATGTGAATGTAGCTGTCATACCTAGGATATTTTCAATCCGTTATAAGACAAAGAGATAAACTTGTATCATGTTTATGACAGTATATAGGGTTTCTGTCAAATGCAGCTGAACCTGTATCTTAACTAATACAATGTGCCTCTTTAACCACATTTTTCTCTTATTATTCCAGGAGTAATCGCTATTCTGAATTTTAATTTCATTATTTCCTTGACTTTCTTTATAGTTTTTTTCCCCCATAAATACATGTAATTCCATATAACTTTTAAAATCTAGGGGCACCTGGGTGGCTCAGTCGGTTAAGCGTCTCACCTCGACTCAGGTCATGATCTCACGGTTCGTGGGTTCAAGCCCCCGCATCGGGCTCTGTGCTGACAGCTAGCTCACAGCCTGGAGCCTGTTTCAGATTCTGTGTCTCCCTCTCTCTCTGACCCTCCCCTGTTCACACTGTCTCTCTCTCTCAGAAATAAATAAAACATTAAAAAATTTTAAAAAAATGAAACACTTATGCTTTGGGGGTGCCAAGGGTGGCTCAGTTAGGCATCCGACTTCAGCCCAGGTCATGATCTCGTGGCTCGTGGGTTTGAGCCTAGAGTTGGGCTCTGTGCTGACAGCTCAGAGCCTGGAACCTGCTTCAGATTCTGTCTCCATCTCTCTCTGCCCCTCCCTCTCTGTCCCTCATGCTCTCCCTCTCAAAAATAAATGTTAAAAGTAAAAAAGATGTACCTAATTACCATTAAAAATAGATAAAATAAAATCTGTATGCTTTAAAATGTATATAGACAGAATATTAAATGTATCTTCCTACTGTATTACCCAACATTATGTGCATATAATTCATCATTCCCTTCTGTTTATAAACATATAGAATGTTTCTTGTTTCTTACTATTATGAACAATGCTAGTATGAATAGCTTGTCTCCTGGCATATGGGTGTAAGAATTTCTCTAAGAGTATGTATACTGTTAGAAATGGATTTACTAGGTTAAAGAAACACATGAATGCATACATTCAATTTCACTAGATGATATGTTGTATTACAAAGTAGTTGTAACTAAATTTATACTCCAACAAGGCAGATATTGGTTCTCACTGAATCAGATTCATGCCAACATGTATACTGTCAAACTTTATTTTTGCTAATCTCAGAGCATACAAATATTATCTTATGATTTAAACTTGCATTGCTCTGTTTAAATTGACCACCTTTTCATTCCTAAAATTGGTCATTCACTTTTCCTTCTTTTGAGAAATACATGTTTTGATTTTTTTTTCTTGGAATGCCTTTTTCATACCGATTTTTAAAGTTTTCTCTACACACTCTAGAAAGTTACAAATCCTTTGACGGTTCTATCTATTGCTCCCTGTCTGAGCTTCTCTTTTCACTTTCTTTTTAGTGTCTTCTGGTCAACAGATGTTAACTGAAATTATTTCCTTAATATACAGTGTATACTTTATATCTTTTTGAGGAAATCTTTCCCTATCCTGAAATCAAAGATATTCTTCCACCCTTTTCCCCCTAGTTTTAAAGTTTTGCCCTTGTACTTAGGTCTCTACTTGAAATTGATTTTTTTGTGCATGATGTGAATACAATCTTAATTTTCTTCTCTTACATGGATCATCAATTTAACCAAACACCTTTTATTGAAAATCCTTTCCCAATTGATCTACAATACTACCTGTGATATATACCACATTTAAGGATCTCTAATGCTATACCATTTGTGTCTATGCTAATAACCAATGTCTTAATTACTACATGCTTAAGTCTTGACATATGACAGTCCAAGTTTCCCCAACTTGTTCCCTAGGAGTGTCTTGGCTATTATTGGCTTTCACTCTTCTGCATAAATTTTTAAAAAGAGTTTAATTTCCAGCAAAAAAATTCAGAACTCTTCTACATTGAATTTGTAAATCAACTGGGAGATTTTTTTATTTTGACATAACTAAAGGTCATCCAATCCATAAATATAAAACATCTCTTCATTTATTTAGGTTCTCTTTAATTTCTTTTAATAAAGAAAAACTTTGTAATTTCTTCTCTAAAAAGTCTTCACATATTTTGTTAGGTGTATTTCTAGGTACTTTAATATTTATTTTTTCAATTGTAAAAGGAATTTAAAAATACAATTGACTTTTGTACTTTGAACATATTCCACAACTTGGCTAAACTTTCTTATTCTAATAATGTATTTGTAGTTTCTTTTACTTTTCTATTATCCAAACATCTTATTTATAAATAGTGACAGTTTAGTTTATTTCACTGAACTGTAAAATCTTTATTATTACATAGGGGGTTCTAAACATACTAGGTGGGTTCATCAGTTCAGTGATGATTAAAAATGATCAAAGGAGATCACTGTTTTTGTTCCATATTATAAAAGAAATGCTTCTAA